CCCTAAAAGATGCCATAGAGAGTATAAAATTTTATTATCTCTGCCTGTCCATTTTACAAAGATATACACAAACAAGTAGCCAAATCTGCCTGCAGTTTAACTCCATTAAATCCAATGAATGAGTTTGGCCCACAAGAAACTCTGCACTTAGTGTAATAAAGCTAAAAACTGATAGCAGCTGATACAGTAAAACACATACATTTCCATACACTTATTCCTGCAGATTTAAAAATACAAATGAGCTTCAGAGATTGCTCTTGTCCAGCTCAAAAAGAAACGCTGAAATAGGAAAGGAGAAAAAACAGATCTTGGAGATTTTCCCACTGGTTCCCTCTAAGCATGAAGGAGAGAAGGGTGGGGGAAGCCAGCAGAGTTGTGGTCATTTGGCTTTTCTGAGAGCCCTGAACGTATACAATGTGTGTGTTTAAACAAATGCCTGATGGTTTGCTCCCCAGGTTGGGCAGGACCCCACACCCAGCAGGAACAGGGGTCACAGATCTGGGCCCCCACTTTTGCCTCACCAGTCCCCAGGCAGGACAAGGAGCTCAGGCTCCCAGGCAGCAATGTGGGATGCTCTGCTCCCTGAGGCAGCTGGCCACAATTCCATTTGCAGAGGGCTCTCTCTTCATGAGCAGCGGTTATCTGGCTTTTGGGTCATCTTGAATCTCACATTGCACAGGGGTCCGTGCCAGGTGGTACAGAGGCTGAGCCCAAATGACAGATTTAAACCTTCCCTGATTGATAGGGTTGGGGTTTTTTGTTTGTTGAGGCGTTTTTTAAAACACACACAGCTTTCTCTCGGGGTAGTGCCATAACCACATCAACTCCCATCTCCACCTCCCCAGCTTCCAACCGTGTCCCTCCAGCTCCCTTACCCAGACTGATACACCCCTTGCAGTGCCACTTCCCCCAGACTCTCCTGTTCCAGCTCCTCAGAGTAGTGCACGGAGGCTCCAGGTCCCCCTCAACTGGAGCTAACTCTCACAGCTCCTTGCTTTGATATTTTTTATTATTTGTTTCTGTTACAGGGGTGTGTCAGGGACCGGATGACCCTTGTGATAGATACACACGCTCACCACTCCAGTAGCCAAACTGTACCACACATATCATTTCACTCTCTTCTCCACACTGAGCCCCCGTCACCGCTCTGCTGAGGGTTTAGCGGACACAGGACCAAGGCTTAGGGTCTCCAACCCCTTCACCCCAAGGTCCTCACAGCCCTACTGCTTTCACAGCTCTGCCTCCTTCCTCACCTGCAGTTTGGGCCATGCCTGGCTCCACAGCCGTCCCACCGAGCCCCACACAGCCCCTTCTCCTCTCCATCAGTCTCCTCTGGGCCCAGTTTGCTGTTGATCATCACACATCCATCTCCCCATACCCAGACACTCAACCCCGGTGCTGTCCTGCCATCAGGCTCACTCAAACCCTTCCCAAGCCCTGAGTTCGTAACACCAAGAAAATCCAGCAGCTGTCCCAGATCATGCCAAACACTGCCCGAGGCTGTGCTCCCTGCTCACACCCCCCATACAACCCCTGCAGTAGTTTCCCCTCTCCTCCACCCTTCACCTCACAGCCTTGCTGGTGACTCCACCAGCTGCCCCCCACAGCCCCAGCACAGATCAGAACAGCACAGCCTACCTGCAGGAAGCCCCCAGCCCCACATCCTCTCCTCCTGAAGCTCCTCACTGCCCTGCAGCAGCTACTTCTCAAGCCCCTCTTCTCCACGTGGCTTCCCAGTGCCCTTTGGTGAGAAACTATGTAATCCCAGGCTTTTGCTACACCTGGAGCTAACACCAATTCACAGCCAAGTTCCTGCAGCTGGGACTCTGCGGGCGATGCTGCGCTGCTGTGGCTTTTCTCAGCATGAAATCCCGGCCCTGGAGCAGCCGGCAGGGAAACTCCACCCGGACCAGCTTGGCTGGGATGTGCCTGGCTGCTGCTTCCCTTGTCCCTCTGGAACGCAGGGCTTCACTGATAAAACCCTCACTTGTCCCCAGCACGTGCGTGGAGAAATAACTATAGGAAAAAAATGCCCAAGGATGGGGCTGAGACTTGACAGAGGGGAGAGCTTTGGGCTCTCTAGAGCATGGACCTCTCCATGTCTTGTCCCCATAGCAGTTTCTCCAACCTCAGAGTTACATCCACAGTGACTCGTAAACCTCCGAAGCACTGACCACGTCCTTCTGTTTGCATGCATTGTGCACTCCTATATTTAGCATACGATGGGAAAACAAAATAAATAATCCACAGCTCGCAGTAACAAACCTGGCACCTAGAACAAGCCAAAAGCTTGACCTTTCATAGTTAGGCATCCTGATGAGAGGTTAGATCTTGTGTTTTCTGATCATCAAACAGGAAAGCATTAGCCAGACAGAGAGAACAAGCTCTTATCTAGACCTGATTTCTCTCCCCTCCAGGGGATCCTGTAGGATATTTCAGTTCTCTCTTGCTCGCTGTATGACTCTTCCCTCCCCCAGTTGCTTGAAATCAGCCAAATTCACAATCTAATCTGGCCAGGAGTCAAAGGGGAGAAAAATCAAGTCCTAATGCAGTGACTACTTTGAATGGGGAATTGAAGCCAATCAGAAAGGCATTATTGATCCCTGCTCGGAGCACCTCGGTCAGGGAGGGGAAAGCTGCGGGCAGCCGCAGAGCTGCCCACCGCAGCCAGCCTGGGCTGCCCTGCCAGGCCTGCAGCGTTCCCAGCAGAGTTCCCAGCACCTGCCTGGGCTGGGGGCCGGCTCCGTCCGGGACGAGGAGAGCACCCACCACCCCTGTGCCAGCACTGGCGAGCAGTAGCCCATGGTATGCACTAGCCCCTGCCGTGGACCAGCCCACGTGTGTGCGAGAGCGTGACCCGTGTGCTACCGACAGCGCTGTGTTTGTGTGCAAACACTTCCAGGGTGCATCGCTGTGGTGTGGGCCCGTCTGCGGGAGCCGGGCTGCTCCATCGGACGGGGTGTGTGCATCAAGGGCTACGCGCGTCAGTGTGGGCCAGTTCTGCGGGAGAGCCAAGGGCAGGCAGCAGTGCTGGGGGTGTGTGAGTGAACGAGTGTACCTGTGCCCCCCAGAACCCGCCTGCGTGACTCCAGCACAGTCCCCGCGGTAGGCAGGGGCAGGCAATGGGTGGCTCAGCCCGGGCAGAGGGACAGGGGCAGCAGAGGATGGGGAGCAGCCAGGCAGGGCTGGGCTCAGCTCTGGGCATCCCAGGGTGCGATCCCGATGATCCGGCCCGCGTCAGCGCTGGCTACGGGCTCCTCTGCCTTATGTAACCGCGGCAGGGAGAGAGCGGCAAAGGGGGACGGAGAGCAAGCGGAGAGGAGCTCCCCACTGAAACCAGCGGAAGCTGGATACCCCCGGCAGAGCAACTCTAGATGCCAGGCCGAGTTGCGTTGCCACTGGGCGGGCTGGCCCGGTTCGGGACTGCCCCGGTGCGGGGCAGGTCTGGCCGCCGGTGCCAATCCCCGCCGAAAGCTGCCGCCGGCTTCAGCCAGTGGGGACGCGGGGGTACCGGGAGAGGAAAGGAGTCCTGGGAAGTCTGGGGAATCCCACATTTTGCAAAGAGGCAGGAGGGAAATACGTCCCCTAAAAAAAAACCCCAAACCTGCACGGGGTCCCGGTAGCTCCTGTCCGTCTTGGGCTGTGCCCCCCAACCTGCCATCCCGGGCACTGCGGGGCCGTGCAGCACCGGCACCCCCTTACCTGCCGGCGTCACGTCTGCTGCTGCCTGCCCTGCTCCGGCTCTTCTTCTTCCTCCTCCTCTCCTCCTTCCTCCTCCTCTCTCCCTCTCCCTGCTGCTTGGGGCTCTTTATGGAGATTCATTCATTCATGCCTTCCCATCGGTCCCTCAGCCTTTCCCTGCCTCCCGGAGGCAGAGCGTGTGACGCCTCGCCCCTTTCCAGCCACTTTCTGCTGTCACAGAGCGGCGCTGCCCCAGCCCAGAGGGGCGGCCGGACTGGGACACGCGTGGGCAGCGCCGGGCCGGGGGAGCGTCCCCCAGCGCGGGGCGAGGGGGTTGGGCGGGCGTGGGCACTGCACCGACCCGCCCTAGGGGGTACAGACCATCATCCAGCGCCCATCATCGGGGCGTCGGGTCGCCTCCTTTCCTCTCTGCCCTCCATTCTCCTCAGTCCCACGCCGGGCGCTGCCCAACGCCGCTGGCTCCCACCGAACAGCGGCTGCTGCGGAGAGGGCGCGGGTGGGTTCGCACCCCCGGCCGGTCCCCGAGCAACCCTCGCCCCTCCTTTCTCTCTGCTCGCCCGCTCTATCCCATCCCAGCCCGTCCTTCCTCCCCCACTCCCACTGCCTCCGCACCCGCGCCAGGACCGCATCCCGCTCGGCCGAGCGCTGCCCCATCCACGCCGCTGACAGAAGCGCTGACTCAAGCTCGGAGCGGAGCGGCGGAGCCCGACGTGGGGGACCAAGGCTCCGCAGCCACCAGGCATCGTTCCCCTGGCCGGTCCCATGTGTCCCCCTCCCGCCCCGCCCCGGGGAGGCTGCCCCCATGCCGGTGGCCACTCGCTCCTCCAGGTCACTGGTTAAACTTCACCCCTGCTCCAGCCTTCTCCAAGACGGGGGACCCTCCCTGCCCAGTGCTGCACTTCGGGCAGCTGAGGACACGCTCACGACCCCCACCGACAGCACTCCGCTGCCCACTGCCCCCCGCTGCAGGGGCAAACCCAGGAGGTCTGGGGGGGGCTTTTCAGCCCTTCAAAGTGCCAACCACCACAGCGGGAGGTGCTGAGGGGGGTATTTTAGGTGCTAAACTCATGCGGATTGCCTCATATCTGCACAAACATGAAGTTATTCTTTCCAGCTAGACAGGGCGGAAAAATCCGCTTTTTCCCTTTAAAGACACCGTCGGAAATATGAAGAGCAGCTCCCGAGTTTGGGTGCTGCCAGAGCCTTCGGAGCAACAAACCCTTAACTTAGGGTGAAACCCTTTAAAAACCCTTCCTGGAGCGCCCCGCCCGCTCCCGCTGAGCCGCGGCGTTCCCATCGTCGGTGCCACCCCCTTTTCATCGATGCCATCAATTTCTATTAACGATCGTTTTATTCACCGCTGCAAACTTCTAAATATTTAATCCAGCGCGAAACGGCGGCGGAACGCGCGGAGCTGACGGGAGGAGGCGAGTCCCCGGCCGGGGAGGCGGGAACGGCGGCTCTGCCCCGGGGGAGCCTGGTGATGCCGGTCCCCCCCTTCCCCTCCCTCCGCGGGGCTTTCCTGGGGCTGTAAATCACATCCTGGACGTGGTCAGCACCGCAGGTCCCCCCGGCTGCCCGGCCCGGGAAGGCAGGGATGAGCAGCGGTGAGGAAGTTTCTGCCCAGGGAGAGCTGGAGGAGGAAAGGGGGGATGAGGGGAGGCACCCCGACGGGCTGGCATCTCCGCAGCACCGGGACGCGGCTGCCCGTCGGGTCCCGCCACGCACGGAAGGAGCAACCTCGCTCCACAAGGAACGGGACGGAGGCTGGGGACCACCGGGGGTTTGGGCTGGTTGGAAGGGTCCTGCCCAGGGAGGAGGGGCTGCCCTCCGCTGCCCTGGCATCCCTGGGTACCACGCACCAAACCCCGGGGCCCCGAGGACCCCCAGCCCCGGCTGATCCTCATTCAAAACGCAGCCAAGAAAATTCTTTGACAACTCCGGCGGCGGTTCAACACCGGCTGCGCTGACGGGCGAGTGCCCCAGTCCGACGGGCAGGTGTCCCGGTGCTCCGTGCTCTGCCTGCATTCAGGAACTTTACAGCAACATCTGTCATTATAATGAAAACCGCAACACACCCTCCGGGCAGGAACACGTTCCCGCGTCGTCGTGTGTCCGTTCCCCTCAACCCCCGTCCCCCGCCTTCTCTTAAAAAAAAAAAAAAACAAGCGAAAGCGGCTCAAACTCGCAGGCGGGCACCTGCCCCCGACTCCCCCGAGCCATCAGCGCGACGGCAGCAGCACCCGGCGAGGTCCTGGGGACCGGCCCCCCCCTTCCCGGAGCACGGACACCCCCCTACACCCTCCTCCACTAATTTTCTTTAATTAAAGCTCTATGTGCGGCGCGTTTGGCGAGGACAGAAATAGCCGCTGAAGGAGCGCGTGTGGGGGGAGGCAGGTCCCAACTGCCGGCGTGGGAATGCAGAAGGGATTGGGGGGGCGAGGGCAGCAGACTCGGGGACTGGGTGTACCACAGCCCCCAGCCTAAGACTGGGAGCCTCTGGGGTTATTTGGGGTGGTGGGCGAGAGGCCCTCCCGCCCCGAGCGCTCCGCGCGGCGATATGGCGACCCAGGCGGAAGCCCCCCACCCCCGGGGGGACACTGCTGCCCGCGGCACCGGCTTTTCCTCCGGAGGACCGGGGCTTCCCGCAGGCAACAGTTGCAGCGGCGGCCGCGGGGGCTTCCCGGGGATGCTCCGGCTCGGGCGCGCCCCGCAGGCGGGGGGAAGACTCCGAAGTGGGGATCCCCCATGGGCGGGGGGGGGGGGGGACACCGGCCGGTGGGGTTCCCGGCTCCGCGTCCCCAGCCTGGCCGCGGGGAGCTGCTCCGGGCCGGATCTCCCCATTGCCCGGGGGAGAAGGGCAGCGAGAGCTGTCCCGGGGGACCCTGGGGACCCCTCGCCCGCGGATGGGAGGGCGCCCCGCCAGCCCCGCCGCCAGCCCCGCGGTCCCCTCCCGCCGGAGCCCCAAGCTGGGCTGCAGCCGCCAAAAGTTTGGCGACACGGAGCGGCCACCGGGGGCTGCGCGGGGCTCGCCGGGCACTCGGGGCTGGCTCGCCGGGCACCCGAGGCTCCCGGGCAGCGCGGGGCGCCGCGGCGGGGCGACACTGGGCGCGGGGCCGGTGCGAAGCAGGGCGGGGGGCTCCGCCCGGGGTCGGGGACGACGCGGGAGGACCGGGCGGGCTGCGGCGGGAGCTGCGGGCGCACCTACCTGCTCCGGCGGCGGCTCCCGGTGCTCGGCGGCGCGCCCAGCCCCGAGGCGCGGTGATGGGCGGCGGACGCACCCGCGGCTGCGGCTCCCCGCGCCCTTCCAGGCGGGCGGGCCGGGGGCAGGAGGCGGGCAGGGAAACGCAGCCAGAGCCGAGCAAATCCCAGCGCTGGAGCCCGGCCTCCGAGAAGAGAAGGGCTGCAGCTCCTCACTGCGTCAGGCGGAGAGCCCTGCCCGTGCAGGCGGCGCCGGGCAGCGCTGCCAGGCCCGGGGGGCTCCACCGGCACGGCTCGGCACGGCTCGGCTCGACGCGGTTCGAGTGGGATGGGATGGGCACGGCGCGATTCGGCTCGGTGCGGGCCGGGCGAAGGGGTGCGGTGGGGCACTGCTCGGCTCGGCTCGACTCGGCTCGGCCTAGCACGGTCCGGTTCGGCTCGGTACGGCTTGGCACGGCCGGTTCGGCTCGGTCACGGCTCAGTTCGGTTCAGCACGGCACGGCCCGGTTCGGAGGAGCACGGCTCGCCACGGCTCGGTGGGACCCGGCTGGGTCCGACCCCGCTGTCACGGCCCGGAGCGATAAGCGGCTTGGCCGGGAGAGTCGGGCTGGCACCGGAGGGGCGGCGGGGGAGGGGGCTGTGTGTGTGTGTGACACTGTGTGTGTGTGACACAGAACGTGTGGCACTGTGACACTGTGTGTGTGACACTGTGTGCACGTGTGACACTGCATGACACTGTGCGGCACTGCGTGTACGCAACATTGACACTGTACTGGTGACACTTGCATGTGTGTGACACTGTGTGACACTGTGACACCGCGTGCAGCACTGTGTGCAGCACTATGTGTGTGACACCTTGTGAGAGTGGGGTTGTGTGTGTGCAGGGTTTGTGAGGTGTGAGTGTGCATGTTGGGGACATTGGCCTCCCTGTGTGGGTGTGCCTGTGCTTGTGCATGTGTGTGGTGACACCCTGAGGGGGTGCAGGGATGAGTGTGTCAGAGTGTGTGTGTCTGTGTGTTGGGGTGTACCTGAGCATGTGTGTGTGACAGGCAATGGGGGGAGTGCAGGGGCCAGGGTGTGTCTGTGCGTCTGTATTTACACACACGTGTCTGTCTCTCTGGGCCCGTGTGAACATCTCTGTGTGTCCCCATGTGTGCATGACAGCCACCCCACCCCTCACACCAAATCTGAACCTCCGAGAGCCAAACTGGTGCCAGCTAGGCAGTGCCAGGGGACTCTGGGAGTATGGCTGGCTGAGAGAACTGTGACAGTGACAGGGCTGGACCAGGACCACCACCCACGGCTCCCAGAGGTCCCCAGACCCTGTCCTCAGTGCTTCCCAGGCATCCTCCTACCTCAGACCACCCCTTGCTTGTACCAGAACCTGCCATCCTGCCTCCTCATTTTGGGTAGGCTTTTTTATGCCGTTTTAGCAACACAACACACCTCTAATCAGGATGATTAAAGTGTGGCTGGCACTGAGCCAACCCTTGGAACAGAAGTGCTCTTCTCTCTCCCCAAGCACTGTTATTTGAGGTAAAGACTGGCCCGTGCATTTCTTGTGATGGCTCGAGGTGTCTCAAGTCATCTGCAAAACCACCTCCAAGCCTGCAAGTTCCTTTTGCAGCCCTGCAAGAAGGTGGCAGGGCAAACGGAGAAGGGTGGGTGCAGGAGAGAAATTTTACTCCTTTCAGTTTAATAGCAACAACACCAACACCACCACAGCCAAAAAACCTGAAGCGTGGAATAATAGAGCTGGGAGACAGCCTGGGAACAGGCAAGCCATGGCCCCTCTCCAAACAGCAGCTGGCAACCTGGCACTGTGCTTGGCTGCATTAGACACACAGCCCAGGGAAAGCACCCATGGAAATGCAGGAGACACCTCTGCATGATGGAGAGGATGGGCATGGAGAAGGGATCCAGCATTCCCTGTTCCATGGCCATGATCTGGTTCCCAGCCCAGTGGGGAGGCTGTGGGGCTTGGTCTCTGTGCTATCTGGTTGCCCTGGGGTTCTTCTATTCCTCATCCCCATCCCTGTCTGTCTCATGCCCTCAAAGCACAGAAGACCCCTTTCTCCCAGGAGCAGGGATATCCTATTGTGCCATGTCCTATGGGATGCCCCGAAACCAAGGAGTTCCTATTGAAATTGCTTTGGACTAATAAATCTATAGGCAATAACATGAAATAGTGGGGACCACCATGACAGTGGCTATGGGGTCAAATGTCTTCCTGAGGAGGCTGGAGATAAGAGGTCCCATTCCTCCTCTGCCTTTGCTGGAGAAGGAACAGACTGGCTTCCCTAGGCAGGGAACAGACACTGCCAGGTCCCTGCTGGAGCAGGATGTCGAAGGGTTCAGCCCCCTCATCGGTGCCACACAGATCCTGGGGCAGGCAGGAGTACTGGGGGTTCATGCCAGCCCTGGAGCTGGATCTGGCCCCTGGCAGCTGGAAGAAGACTCATCCAGAAGGGACATGGATGCCACTGGCACTCTGTTGCAGGTCTTTACCCATGGAGATCAGCAGTGAGGAGAAAAAAGATTTGCCAAAGGCTCCTTGCAAATTTGCTGCCTGTTGGCACGCAGTGCCCAGCTTCTCAGGGCTGCTTTGGGAGAGGCAGACCCCCAAACCTCAAGCCTCACCCATGGATCAAGGACAGACTTTAAGCAGCATCATTCCTACCAGCTGCCAGGTCACCGTGGGGGAAGGGGGGCAGGGGGGGAGACTTGGTGCTATCAAACAACTTTGCAAACTGAGATAAATTAATAAAAGGAGTAAGTACTTCTGAGCAAGCTGTTCCAGTTCTGGGAGGAAGTGACGCCAGTCCAGGCTCTGGCCCCTATATTTAGTAAAAATCTAAACCAGACATTGATAATATTATTAAAGACAGGAAGGAGTAAAAGAAGACGTAGCCATGCTGGGATGACTGATCTATTTACGCGAGACGGCGGGAGGAGTGCTGTGAGAAAGGTGTCTCAGGTCAGGAGAGCCTCTGCAGGCCCTTCCCCTCCACCAGCAGAAGAAGACATCTGACACAGCAGGTTTAAGCAGTCCTAACCCAGTTTAACAAGTGGTACAGGAGGGAGAGGTGGTTAATAAAACATTGGCTGCTTCCCTCAGTGATGGGGAGGGGGTATGGGAATGAGAGCTCTCCTGCTGCCTTTTGGAGCATCACTTAGAAGGAAAATGCTGGCCAAGGGACAGAGCATTGGCTGGGCACTGGTCCATTTGCCCATGCAGAACAGGGAGGTATTGAGTTAGATTAGAAAACACAGTGTGACCTTGGGTGAGTGATGTGTCTTCTTCCTGCTCAGGGAAGGGACTTAGTTGTTCCTGTGTGGTGCCCACAGCAGCAGAGATTGACTCTGGATTCTCCTTCTGTTGCACTGACTGGGATAACCTGGTGTCCTCTGAGAGAGGAAAGCACTCACCAAAATAGGGGAGTTCAGAGGAAAGGTGGCAATGTGACAACCATGTGACTGCCTCTGTGCAGAGCCTGGGGGAGAGTCAGAGGTTTCCACCCTGCCTGCGTGGGACCCCATGTGAGCAAGGAATGGAAGTCTGGTGTCCTTTGCTTAGTTATACTATTCCTCTCCCCTCAAAAGCAATGGCTTCAAGTGTCTTAAAAATCACAAGCACCTGAACCCTTTCAATGAGACCCACAACAGCAACAACCAACCATGCACAGAGGGCGAACATCCTACCAGCCTGGCTCCACCCGGGGCTCCCACCAGGGCTCTGCCTCCAGCTCCCCTCTGTGCCATGGGCATGTGCAAAATGCGCTGTGACAGGGAGCTCTCACCAGCAAAAAGGGAGGATGATCCTTGCGGGAAGGGCATGATCTCCCCCTTCACATCCCTACAAGGCTGGCTAGTGTCCCCTTGCTCGGTGCAGGAGGAGATCTGCCCCACCATGTGTCCCCATCCAGCAGGACGAGGGGATGCTGCTGTGCGGTTCCCAGTGATGCACCAGAATGGCTGTGGGTGACTTGCCATCCAAGGGATAATTTTTTTCAGCCTGAGATGCTTCTTCACTGTTGTTGTCAAATCCAATCTAAAAATCATCAGACTAATTAGAAAACAAAAAATGACATTTTACGGGCTGTTAGTGCTGTAAGTGGACTAAGGCCTTATGGTATTTAAAGAATGTTTGGAAAACAACAGCGATATTTACATCTGGGAAAGTTACCAGGCAGAAGCTTCATTTCAGAACATTTTTGTTTAACATATTCAGCCTTGGTGATGACAAATATTACTGCACATCATTACCCCAATTTTTCAGGGTGTTAATACCTCATCCATTGCAAATTGTATCTGCTGTAGACTTGGCAGCTTGGATGAGTTTTTATAGGTTCCCATTTGTTCTGAGTTTCTTTCTCATTTTTGACTTTGAAACTCTGAAAGTCAGTGAAAGGTGACAGGGGTAGGGACAGGGGACTCCTGCCAGCCCACAGCCCAGGTGCAGGGTGGTTGTGCATCATTAATCGCTCTGCTCACCACCTGGAGCTCGTGGAGACATCCAAGACTGGTTTGATCTTTAGTTCTACCTCTGCTTGCTGGGTCTGGCAGATAAGGGGATGTCCATGAGGGTGGTGGAGTTGTCATGTCATTGTATTGACCACTGAAATCTCAAAATGGGCTTCATTTGGTCCCATTCATCCTTGATGATGCTGATCACTGTCTCCCTACCGTGCTTGCATCCCTGTGGAGCGTAAGGGGTCCTACATGTATGATTTTGAATTCAGTACAGCACAGGCTGGATGTCCTTTCCCAAGGCCCCAGGGGACATATCCCACTGTTGATGGTTTCTTTTGGCCCCTCTGGATACTTTGACATGCTACTGTAGTGCAGATTACATAGCACCTTCCTCTTGGGACCTCCAAGAAAGTAAACAGAGTGAATAATTCACAATGAGCTATTTCTTTAAAGATTTTTGTCTGTCTTTTTTTTCCCCCTCTCGTATGCACATTGTCCATGAAGAAAATTAAATTCTCCAGTGCAGTTTTTTGGTGTTATTCACAAAACTCTTTGAGGAATAACTCTTGGCTCGTGCGTGCTTTCAAACCAAAGAGTCTGCCACCAGATCTTCAAATTGCAATTTGCAAAACACACAGTTCGAACCATGCATGCAGGGCAAAATCCACCCTGCTTGCTTAGCCACGTCCAAACACCAGTGGATGGAGAGGAAAGCCTTGTCTCTGCCCTCCTTGTCACTGCACAGATCCAAGCAGAGACATCACGATCCCCATATTTACAAGTGGTCACTGATGTGGGGGCCTCATTTCAGACACCAAAGCTGTGCCGTGGGTACCTGAGGTTTAGTCTCCTTTGGGGTGGTGACAGAGGCAAATCAGTCTGGATCTAAAGGTCTTCAGAGCAAAACTTTTCCTTTGCTGCTGTGCCTTCAATTCTCCTACACCCCTGATGTCCTAGAGGATATCTTCAGTGACCCTTTGCTTGGTGAGCCTCACCTTGTCACTCATGAGGGACATCATCTGTCCCTCAAAAGGCAGAGCTAGTCCAAGGCTTGTCGGTGGCACTGGCCAAAACAAGTGACGCTATTCCAGGGCTGTCATTAAAATGAAGCTATTGTGCTTTGCCAAAGCCATCCCTGAAGCTGATCCCAGCAAGAAAGGTTGACAGAGAGCACATGCCTGCCTTGGAGACATGTAGATGCAGCACGACTTACTTTTTATTTACAGAGCATCAGATTGCACATTCCCTAAGAGCTCTGATTCATCCCTCTCAAACCCTAGAACAAATATTCTGAAATCAGTCTACGGCATGGGGACAGGCTTTGTTCAGTGCTTTGAAAGAGAGCAGGTAAAGTCATTACCCTCACTTTGCATAGCAAAAAATGATATGCATAAAGCTGCATAGAACAACCCTGCAAAGCTCAAAGGAAACAAATGGGCGACTTGCACCATGAATTTCAATGGGACTTTGTGCCGCCAGGATAATAGCCAGCGAGACAGTGAAATATTGCATGGAGAGACATCGGGCAGTAAAAACATGTTCAACTTGCTAATGTTGTGGAATATCCCACAATATCACACGGGGGAAGATTGCAGAGCAATTGGATGGGGACAGGTGGATCAGCCTGAGAGAGAATGGAGCACACATGGGCACAGGACAGAAATCATTTGGGATGGTGACTGCACGGGTCTTTATAACACAGGGAATTACCCTGTGGCTTCTCCCTGGAGCTGTCCCCCTGGCTTGAAGGACTATTTATCCAGTTGTCTTGGAAGCAGCACCTGGTTTACAGGAAGGTCTCCAGCCAGTTTTTCACATGGGTTAGCTACAGTGCTTGGAGCACCCGACCTGAGATGGAGATCTGTAGCCAAGTTTCTTACTACTATTCCCAGAAATTGCCTTCACACTGATCCCTGGCTGCTGAACACAGCCTACCTCAGGTTCCCACTGTTCTGTGATTCCAAGCAGGAGAGACAAGGCAGTTTTCAGGAAAAGGGGCTGGCACCAGACAGATCCTGGCCAGGGCTTCAGCATCCATGGCGGCATCCCAGCTCTATGGGGATGCCAAAGTGTCTCTGCCTCCTGTGAGCTTCCTTGTAGGATGCCCTATGGGCCATGGGCTCAGCAAAGTCTCTAAATATGGACTGAGAAAAATCACCCTCCTATTTGACACCCAGAGAAAAGGAGGCTTCCACATAGCTGGATAACTCGCCCGAGGATGGAGTGAATTAGCATTCTTTAAATTAAAGAGCTTTAAACAGCGTCTTTCCCCCAAATTGCCACTATATCCATTCCAATAGTTATAGCAAGTAGACCCAGAGGAAGAGGAAGGAGGAGGGAGAAAGCCAAGACAGAGGATGGGCGATGCTCTGACATGGCAGGGAGGGGCCAGGAGATGCCTGTTTGCACCAGGAGCAGCTGCACTGTTACCAAGGCAAAGGAGTTAAAGCAAGCGATTCCCTAAGGCACCCTACACTTTTATGGATTGCTGATGGTGAAAGCAGTAACTGAAAGGACACCTCTGAGTGAGCACTCATGTATTAAGCAGATTTGGACGTTGTCCCCATGCAAAACAGAGTGTGCCTTTCAAGGCTGCGCAACTCCACAGGTGAGGGGTGAGAAATCTGAACAGGGAAAGCTTTATCAGGACCTTCAAGCTGCATTTTCAAGATGTCCACGACAAGGGGAAATGGCAGTAACATGTTCAACTGCCACCATGGAGACTGGCTACTGGTTCCTGTGTGTGGCCACCTGGTTATTTAAGGGTCATTTGTGTTTTGGGCCAAAGAGAGATGGGGAAAAAGGACAAACAGCCAAGATGTGTAGGTGAAGCTACAAGACAGGACTGTGGACATCTTAAGTCTTCAGCTCTGAAAAGAAGTAAAAACTGAAGATGGGTGACAGTGGTGAACAAATCAGAAATTCAGATGGGAATCCAACTATTCAATCCACCAAATTTGGGATTAATGACACCATCTCAGCTTCTTCTCTTATTTTAAGACTGACCAGAGATCCAGAACAAAAATGCATTCGGGAAGAGAATGGAAATGGGTTCAAAACATCTCCTTTTCCCCAGGATCCCGTGAGCAGAGACCTCCAAGTCCTTCATTTTCTTTAGCTGGCTCCAGGCAGGCTGAGTGCATCCTTTAAATAAGAGTGTAGGGAGCAACTCTCCTCCATCCACACCAGCCCAGCGCCAGGACTCCGAAGGCAGCGCTCTGGTAATGTCCCTTTCATTGGCACGACATTCAAAACGGCACAGCACCGGGGCTGCTGACTCGCAGGTCCCCAGGTAAGGAAGGAGCCGCCAGGGAGGCTCCAAAGCTGCAAGCGGATCCTGCGACGAGACCCGGCCGTGCAGCGACTGCAGCCATCCAAAATAATATTTGTCTCCACCGAGACTCACAAGCCCCTTGGGAAGGGAAGGACCAGCTATTCAGCAACGCCGTCAGATCCCAGGGGGAACGTTTTGCTCAGAGAATGGGAGTTCGGAGGATTTCTGCAGCTTCCCCTCCCAGTCTCAATTTACCTCACCGAATTAAAAGCAGTGTGGGCTGGAAACGACGTTAAAAGGAAAAAGATGACAGAAAAATCACACTGAGCGTATTGTTCTGGATAAATAAGACACAGGCGTGTTGCAGAAGGTAGCTAAACCCATCCCACAAACGGTCTTCTCCTGCCAGGAAGATGTGACAAAAATAATTACTTGGTCTATACATAATTATTGTGCTGCTTTGAGCAGCTGCCTGCCCTTGGCACAGTTAAGGGAGCTTTTGCCTGATATTGGTTAATGACATTAACCATTAGCCCCTTAATGTCCTGACCTGCTAAACAGGCTGGAATGTCTCCAATGATGGTGCTGGGCACCCACCTACGTGTCTGTCCATGCTGATGGGGGAGCACCACGTGCCTGTTGCAAGAGAAATGCTCCCAGGTGCCATTCCCAGTTGCACCAGTGCCTGGAGATGGATGGAACCCAGTGCAATCCTGCATCAAGATCTTCACCCAGGAGATACTGGTTGTCACTGGCAGGACCATGTTGGCCACACAGATGCCAGCAGTGGTTTGTGGTACTCATGAGAGGTAGGATCAATGCTGGAAAAGACAGAATTGTTTTGATGATGAAAAAAAGAAAGGGAAGAGGTAATGAAATCACGTTTTTTTTTTTCTCCCCTGGGTGGAGAAAGTTCCAAATCTCTCCAGTTTTGGCCCAGCTGCCAGAAAGTGACCTGTTTCATGGGTCACTTGGGGAATCCTCCATGGAATAAATTAAATGCTCTTCATTTAATTCTCTCAAAGGAGAAATAAGAGTTTTACAACCAGCTGTCAAATGCTCAGCAGCTAAAATATCAACAAAGTATGACAGATGCAAGACCAAAAAAGCCTCTGAGGTTTCCTTTTATTGACTGGAAAGTCTCTGGTTTCTATCTTATTATCTTTCAAACTAAACTGATATGAGCTGAACAATCAGGAAATTGAATAGCATCATTGGCAAAGACAGTCCTCTCCCAAAATAGCTGACAGTGATGAATACCCGAGAAGACCGACCCATTGCTTGGGCATGGTGGGATCTAACAAAACAGCATTTGATCTTATCCCACACAACCCATTTGGCCAGAGCTGATGGAGAGCCAAACATCCTGCTTCTCCTTTATCTGGGAATAATCTAATGTTTGGGTCACGTGGAGCTGGGTTGCAGATTGATAATCGCATACTTGAAGATCACAGGCTATGAAAATTATTGCTGTGCTGGCTGGAATAAATTATGCAAAGCAATGCGTTATCTGGGAGCCTGCAACGCGCAGGCACACGCGCACACGCACACTTCGGTGATCTATCGCTCTCCATGCAGATGTTCTGCTGCAAAGACACTTTAATTAATACATTGAAAATACGTTTCCTGCCTTGTCTGAGCCGGAGATGAGCAGGGAAATGACGCTGAGTGGGGTAAAGCCCCCACTGCAGAAGAAATGAGGAAGGGAAACGCAGTGATTTAAACCCAGTCAGAACTAAGAGGTGTCTGAGCTGGGGCCCGGTCGTGCATTGAGCTGGTGTTGGCAGGAGAGTGAGTGGCAAGAACTGGAGATGCCCTCCTGGAGGCACTATGGGGCTATAGCTGTAGCACAACCCCTCAATCCTTACTATTCCTTCTGCTGAGAACATCCCTTCACCCACTCTTCATCCCTGGCATTCCCACTGCCTTCCTGTGCATCACCAGGAAGGACCTAGGTTAAGGCTCAGTGAGTCACTGTTCAAAGCGGAAACCAAACCTAACGCTTGAAAACTTGGCTCTTCCAGAAGGGCCACTGAAATGGAAAAGCCCAGTCAAGACACCAACCACACCAGCAACATTTGGATATAAATACCTTTCCAGCCAGAGAAATAACCTGAGAAAGCAATTTCCACCCCTCAATGCAAACTGAAAGGGTGGGACATCTGGCTTAATTAGGAAAAGGATTTTTGCCTTTCATGCTTTTCTCCTTTTCTATTTTGTTTTTACTGACTCTCCTGCATCACCTATGAGACTCTTCCTGTTCAGATCAGTGAGGGAATGCAGTGGCAGCAATAAATACAAAGGGGCAATGATGTCACAGCTGTCCTCAGCGCCTGCCCCGGTAGGTGCAGCCCAGTGCTCCCATAAGTTATCCCTCCCCTGTGCCACTGCGGGCATTAGTGGTGGTCTCACCCACCATATCACAAGAGGAATCTTAAATCATCCCACCAGAAGGTGAAGAGACCCACAAAAGGATGGGAGAGGAGACTGGGAGGCAGGTCAGCAGGGCATAAACCAAACAGCAGTGTTAATTCAAGTTTGCATCCTGATGGATCGGGAGAAAATCCCATGGGGAAGAGAGGGCAGAGGGAGGTGGGGCACTGGGGCAGGAGGAAGGATGAGCCAGATAGCAGCCAGACTCCCCAGAGGGGGCACATTTGCGGGGACACTACTCAGCAAGCATGTCCTGCCCAGCTCACAGCTGATTTGGTGACATTGGGATTGTTGCAACCATCCCACACGTTCTTCTTGTAAAGTGATTCTTGGCCATAGCCCAGGATTAATCCTGGGTGGGAGAGTGGGAGACTGGAACTGTTTTCCTGCGAGGAGTAGCTTGTGCCTGGAGGTGAGTGGGGTCTGATGAAAGAAAACAATTTACCACTCCAGGGTCTGTCCTCACCAAGGGGATGCACCAGCAGGTGGGGTGTGGGATGCAGCCCAGCTGGGCACCTCTGTCATGTTCCATCAGGACTCAAGAAGAGTGATAATCAAAACCCCTGCATGAATCTAATCAGCATGGAGGGCTCTGGCCTCAAGCAGGGAGAAACCCAGATATATTCCCTGGAGAAAAAAGATGTGAAATTAGCCTTGCCAGGCTAGGGAGTGCTTTTAAATTGCAGCAGAAGTGTTTGAGAGATAGCTCTGCTCTCCACAGGAGCTTCTCCCCATCCTTGGGATTTAAGCCTGTTAAATAGTGGAGTATGATGATATTATCTGTTTGTATTGCACTTTTTATCATAAACAGTTCCCAAAGTGATTTGTTATCATGTCCTTTGAGAGCTGCTGAAACACAGGCCCCTGGTGGGAAGCAGGAGCAGAGCAGCCACCACCCCACTTACAAGGGAGAGGAAGGGGGAATTTGGACCAAAAAAAATCACATCCTCGGTTCCTCAGACCCTCACAAACCAGCAAGGATGTGGGATTTTTGGTCCTACCCAAAAGATCTGTGTACAAGAGAGGCCACTCTGTCTATCTGATGATAGAGAGGTGGGATGACAGAGAAAATTCTGACCTTGGCCAGGTTGGGACTAGAGGCTTCTGGGAAAAGCGTTATCTCCAGCCTCAAGCCCAACCCATCCCTCACTGCTCTGCACTGGACCCACATTCCCCCCAGAGAACACAGCCTGTGTTCACCCCAACTGCCAGGCTTGAGCCACCATCCCTGGGCCTCGCTCAAGAAAGAACACATGGAAATGCATTTCTCCAACCCTCCTTGTGGAAAGACAGTCACGCAGCACAACCTGGGGTTATTTCTGTAACCTCTGCTCAAAAATTGCCTGACCCACCAATATTAGAGCATGGACAGGGGGAAGGTGGTGTTAGAGGGAAAATGAAATGAAAAGTGGAGGGTCAAAAGAATGGAAGTAGAGAAGGAGTGAAACTAGGAGAGGAAAAGCAAAGGGAAGATTTACCTGGCAACAGCCAGGAAGGGTGGGAGAAGGAGAGATTCGTTGCAGCCATGCAGTCCCTGCTGCTGTGCAGTCCCAGAGGATGCATGCTGTGTCTCTCTCTGAGGATTCCTCTCCCTGCAGAAGTTGCAGATGAGATCCCAGCAGCTGACAGTGGCAGCAGAAGAAAATGAAGCAAAAACCTTTTCCAGGTGAGGAAATAGCTGCGTTTCTCACCCTCCCATTGACTCCAAGAGGTTCAGGGGTTGGCATCTGCTCTCCAGCTCCCAGCCTAGAAAAGGGAGGATCGATGGGGTTACGAACTCCAGTGGAAAGCAGAATCTCACTACTGTGTTTAGACATAAAATTGAGCAGTTTTTTCCCAAAGTAACTGCTGGAAGAGCCCAAACTCTGCAGCCTCCAGGCCAAAACTCAAATAATCTGCTTCACCCGCTGGGGTCTAGAGACCCCAGCTGCAGAATTAACCTGGCTGCCCTGACCTCCCCTCTGGCCCTTGCGTGGGGATGCCAGGAGCCACTGGCCAGCTGCATAATTAGGACAAGTATTTCTGTGTGTTTTCCTTTGATATAGGAAGATGGACAGATACTTTGCAGAATCATTTCCTTCCCCAAAAGCCAAGCGCAGTTGCTGTGCCCAATTCTCCTTCCTATGGCCACCTTTTAATCAGACAAACTGGGCACAGGCACACAGACCTTCAGAAGCATCGTGGAGCCTGCAGCTCTGTGCTGGGAATATCAGTGGAGAGATGCAAAGTGATTTCACTCACAGCCACATTGTTGCTTGACTGACACCCTGTAATAAAGAGATTCGCCACATAATTACTGTGCATTTGGGATGCAGCACCGGAGATTATTTTAACCCAGTGACAGCCTTAAACAGTAGTTAAAGTATATGTTTATATTAATGTTATTAGTTATTTTTGTGTCTTTTACACAAAAGGCTTTTCTTTGAAATGGCAATACAGTAAACAATGGCTCAAGCGTCTTCCAGAGAAATCTCTACCTCTACTTTTGGGTGAACTGTTGAAGGATCTGAGCTGAGATTAAACAAGTAACAGCTTGACTTGAGGGTAACAAGGGGTGCAGGATCAGATGCCACTGTCAGGAGCTTTTTATCTCTCACTGCTACATGGTAAACACAGGAGCCTGAAAAAAATCTCTTCCATACTTTGTGTCCTGCTGTGGCAGCATGTGACATGCTGCTGGTGACTGAGACCTGACCTATGTTAGCACACCTACAGCTGGGCACAGCCAGGATGGGGCACAAGTGCTGTCATATTCAGGTATCTATCCCAACCTTGCCAGAAAAGATGTTAATCTAGACTTATAACAAATGAGAGAAGGAGCTGGGCATTTACTGGTAGAGAATAACAATAATAAATGATGGGTTTTATTAAGAAATATTACCTAGAAAGTTTATTTCTATTCAAGGGCCTCCAACAGCCAGCAATATAATAAAGAGGAAAAAGAAGATGGAAAGGGGAAAATTAGAAAAATGAAGGTGATCAAATAAAAACTCACGCCTGTATATGCCTTAAGTCAATTATACCTAGGTGTTGCGGTTGGGTTTGTGTTTTCTTGCAATGAAGGAAAAGCCTCATTTCATAAACTGATACAAATTATCCTGGAATCAAAATGAAAACGGGTGCAAAAGAGGTGGTGAAATATTATCAGTCAGCAATGGGAACACCGGTCGTTCCATCACTGTCAGAGGGAAGTTGTGGCTCCAGCAGATGCGCAGAGCCTGGTACAGCTCCTGGTGGTGCCCCTACGTGCCACGGGGGTAACACACCACCTGGGAATGCTCCTCTTCTCCTGTATTTGACTTATATCCACTTCTTGCTGTGACACTGAGATGGACACAACAGACCCGTCCTGGGGCTCGGTTGCATCTCTGCAGTGTGGTCACCCACCATTAACTATGTGACTCAGGCATTTTTCCCAAACTGCTGCTCAGTTCCCAGTCGGTAGCAGAAGTTCTCCTCATTTGCCCTTATGTCTGCGACCTTGCACTGCTGGCACTCTTAGATTTAATCACTTCTACTCATGTCGAGATCACCCAGGTCTTCTGGTATGACATTACGTGCCTCTTATTGAGGATATTTCTCAGCATTGCATCTCCAGAGCATTTCATTAGCATAAGACTAATTTTTATACCAAGGTCATTAATTAAAACATTATATGATGAAAACATTGGTATTCCTGAGACCTGCCCTTGAGAAAGTTGCTGAACTGTCAGCCCTTCACTCAGTACTTCCCTACTCCCCATTGCCCTACCTTTTATTCCACTAATTCCCACCTCCTCTGGTTTAATTAACAGGACACGAGACAGGTGAGGCAGCCAGGCTGTGAAACTGCCCAGGAAGCTCCACAGCAGGACCCTCAGCCCGCTCCTGGAGCACCATAAACCTTACATGAAAGGAACAGCCTTACAGCATTGCCACATCCCGGAGGGATGTCACTGTTAGCACTCGCTGCATGTGGATCACCAAAGTTACTGTCTGTGTGTACCACAAAAAGGAGGCTGGCAGGGAGGACACTGAAGTGCAAGGTACAAGAAAGAGAAGGTCCCCAATGGATGGAGGAAGCCACAGTGCCCACGAAGAGCCATTCTGGAGCTCAGACAATGCCCACATCCTCATAGCCCAAAGTCTTTTTAACTCTTCTCTCTGTCTGAGTGGCAGGCAAGAAGTAACCTCAATGATTGCATTTCTTTGTGTGACCCCATCTAAAACTTTCTGCATCAGATAAACAACTCCCAAGGGTCAATTAACATGTCTTGAGATGATTAGAGTCTGACACTGATGAAACCCAGCAGTAATTAGCAAATTAAAAAAAAAAAAAACCCTTTTGATTAGTACTCAGCATAATTCCCTCCAATTATTCAAAGTTCATGACTACAGGGGGTGGAATATCTCCAGGAATATTTATTTATATCCCTATTTTTTTCCAATCAACTTTGTGAATCTAGTTAATCATCAGCACTTGAACTTGTTAACTTGGAGAGTTTCAGAGCTGTCACTCTCTCTGATTGCTGGAGACAGCCCAGGGAAGAGTTTGGGGAGCACAGAGAATCCAAATTCCTGTCTCAGGCAAAGAAAAGAAAAGAAAAATAAACAATAAAAAACAAGAAGAAAGAAAAAAACCAACTCTCTGCAGCAGCAGAGAAAATAAAAATACAGTGCTTTCCCTCTCTTTGTTTAGAGTCACAGCTTGGTGCTGGCATGTTTTGCATCAGGCTGTCAGACAGTGCTTTGCAAAGGCAGGCAATACGTCTCCTTCTGCACATGGACAAAATCCTCCCTGAAAAGGTGCTCATGCCTGCACAGTCCAAATATCTGGGCAGGAGCAGCCCAGGCAGCCAAGCTTCCCTGAAAATGTGCTCCATGGTAATGCAGGCAAAGAATGGCCTTAAGCTATGAAGCTCCTCGTCTGCAGGTGCAGTAAATCAGCTCCCCAGCCAGCCCCCCGCTGCGGCTGGGGCAGGGCTGACCTGCCCACCATTCACAGGAAGCGAGGGCAAGCCACAAAAAAGCTGGAATTGCTCTGGAAGTCGCTGTTGCCTGCAGGGAAGCTTTGCTAAAGCATTTCATGCCTGCCTTCAGATGGTATGAGAACAGTTTTTCTGCCCTAAATCCTCCCACATCCTTTCCAGCAGGAGAGAAGGGACCAGGAATCACAAAACCTCTCCTTCACTATCCCTGTCCAAAGCTGCTCCAGCGGCCACTGCTCCTGGGCTGGCTGAACGCAGAGATGGGGCGGGGACCAGCATCCCCACAGTGCTGTCAGAGGATGGATGTGTGACCACATCCCACAGCCCCATCTGCTCTAGAACTACTGCTGTGTCCTTGCTCTCATAGGTGCCTCCAGATCTAAGGGAAAGGCAGATGAACAGGGAGTTATGACATGCCACCACCTCAGAGGTGGAGCAGCACAGGGCTTTACTGGGAAACTGCTCCAATGGAGTCAGATTAAAGCAAAACTTTGATCTGACAAGCACCCTCTCATCTCCTGACACAGGCTCTCAGCATCCCCATCTCTGCTGGCCCTTGCCTTCCACAAGCCATGTTGCTTGGGCAGAGACACTGTCCACCCTGGACTGCCCTTGCTGACCTACATGAGCAAGTGCCAAGAGCATGGGGATGTGACCACTTGGAGAGTGGGCTTGCCAGGCTCTGAGCTGCAAGTCCTCCATCCTCTGCTTCGTTAAAAACTTCTTCCCTGCCTGAGTGAGCCCTGAGGGAGGGAGAAGTCTAGTCCCAGATAGGAAGACATAACTTAAACCTTTCAAAGCCACTTTTCATTGGACTTTTCTATATTCATCACTGCAGACTAACAGAGATTTTCTGTCTAGTTTAGATGATTTTTTTTTTAATTTAATCCTATCCAGTGAGAGCCCTCTAGGGAGCTCCTAACCCTGCTTTAATAACATGCTCATTAGTGAGGTTATTCAGGGAGTGGTTTCTATTTGACACTCCAGCATCTTTCCAATTAATGTTGCTTTAAAACAAGCAAACCTTAAAAAAGAGAGAATATCAAACAGCTCAGAGTTAGCACTGCGGGAAGCCAGCAATTTCCTCTGGATTTTCATCTCCCTTCTCTCCAAAATTTGGTTCTTAGTACCGCAGCCATTTGCTGAGACAGGAGTAAATTAAAAGAGTACAAGGCCCTGCCATCCTGGTAGCTCAGGGGTGTCAAACCAGAAGCCAGAACACCGAGTGGGACACCAAGGGTTGTTTTGTTGAGCTGGATTAGGTCCCACATGCTGCATGCTCTGGGTCATTCAAATGCAAGGTTGTACCAACGCACACAGGCATTCCCATGAGCCAAGGGACAACAGAGTGACATTTTCTGCCATCTCTGCAACTGGAAATCCCTTCATCAGCTCAATAGCTCCCAGCAGAGGAGGTCTTTCTTTCCCTTGGTCCCTCCCTTGAGCATGTCCCTTGAGCACACACATTTGTGTGCAGCAGTGTGGGCTGCTGCAGCTGCCGGCAGGATCCCAGGTGGAGGGGCTGTGTGAGCGAAGGGATGTTGCCACAGCTGCTGGAGCAGGGACACAAAACTCCTCTGACATCTCTCTAGATGACTTGGCTCACCCATGTATTTACAGACTGACTTTTCCCCTTGGCTTAGTTATTCCATAATGGGATGGTCCAAGGGCTGAAACAGCTCAGCCTGATCTCTGAGCTCATTTCCACGCAGTGACATTGTATTTGCCAGGAGTGTGCCTTGGTTTCCCTTGGATGAAGGTGAGCTCTGGACACATGTCCCATCACCAGGTGACCAAGAAGAGGGAGAGAGCACAACAGGTGCTACAGAAAGTGAGGCATTGCATTATCTGGACATGAGTAACATGAGTTTCAAAACATGCTCACTTTGCCCAAGATAAACAGGACTGAAGTGTTTCCTTTGCTGCCCACCACTTTCCCTACTGCAGTAACAGGACCTATTAATTTTAGGTGTAGAAAATTGAAATCTGGGTCAGAAGTGTGGAAAGCAGAGGCACACACAGTACACAGCCCACTGCAAAGAAATACCACCCTTGGTAAGTCAGCAGCTGCAAAGGGAGCAGGACAGGGACAAATTCTGCACTGTTGGAGGGCCAGCACTGCTCCACCGACCAAAGAGAGCTGCAGCCATTTGTACCCAGCTGAGCTGGGCCCTGGAGGGCTGAGGGCAAGTGCTGCCTGGGCCAGGAAGGAAATCAGTGGTGAAACAGCAAGAGAAAAGAGACTGTGAGTTCCTAGAGCTGGTAACAGTACCGAGAAGTGACTTGTGTAGGGCTTCCCTCTGTGTTGTCCTGAAGTAATTCCCCATGATTTGGACTGAAATAAGTGCATAATCGTGTTGCCTACCACAGCTTGCTGAGCACATGTCACTGCCTGTGACACATGGAATAATGTCGGCGTTACCTGATTTGGGGAACAGCTAAACTCTAAGTCTGCAGGCATCCTCCACTTTCTATTATCCCAAGTCCCCCTTAGGCTCCTCTCTTTGCCTTCCCCAGTCTTACACAGAATTTTGGCTCTTTCCTTGTTAATTAAATGACAGCCGTCTGCAGCCAGAGCTTGAATTACACCTGCCTAAAGCGATCAACAATGATTGGAATTGTCGTATCATTTTGATTGCAAAGATTCCCACGCAAGTCAAAACAAGCAGGGAGTGCAGGCATATGCTGAGAGCTATTACCAGGCTGTGAGACGGCTTCCCTTCTGCCAACATGCACCCAAGGCCTATCCCAAGCTCTTCTCTGCAAGAGTGTAAGAGCGAGGCTAAGCAGAACGATTTTTTTCCCTTGGCCTGTGGCTCCTTGCAGTGGTTTGCAATGGGAGCTGAAGATGCTGCTGCTGGCCAGAGGTGTCTGTGGGACCCGAGGTAGTGCTAGAGATGAGGCACAGCCCACGAACATCCTGATCTGCTGTTTCAGGATTATTTCTTTACACCAGGCTTGCAGCAGTTGGTGTTTTCCTGGCTTATTTTATGGCTGTGTTGGAAGAAGAAAAGCCAATGAAAGGGATATAAGTGAAATAGGGCAAATTAGAAGTAGGCACATAAAGATGAAAGAGTACAGATCAGTGAGGCTACATGGAAGCTCTCCCCAGCAAGCACTGTGCCTGGATTTCCCCGGGGATTATCAATTCCTCTCCGTGCTGCACTGTGGTGCAAACACAGTCCTCCTCTGCAGTTGTTCTCCACTCCCCCTAAAGTCCTGACCATGCAAGCAGCAAATGGGATGCCCAAGACTTCCCAGTATATTGGGAAAAGTCTGTCCCAGAGTTTACGGGCAGCTGTGATGGCACAGTTACGCTGGGAATGCTGGGAGAGGACTTGCAAGCAGCTCAGGGGGAGGAGGGTCAGGCACCAGGTGAACCCCTGATCAGCTCTCAAATCGAACCAGGCACAATGTTTTCAGTAAATATCAAACCACCCAATAAATGGGCAATCCAAGAATCTAAAATCGCTGGTGAAATCAGGCTGAATTTGGGAAAACTGCAATGAAAATCCCTGGGGGAAGGAGGCAGAGGGAGGATGTTGCCCTCTGTAAATGAAACTTCCCACTATGGTTTCAAAGCGCGGTTTGCTTTAAGACCAGATCTCATTTTTAAAGTGAAGCAGGGAGAAGGCAGAAAAAGTGTTTGTCAGGTCAAATAACCTAAAGCAAAATATTTCAGTTCAGGTCTATTGAGACAGATGGGGTCCCCAGCTGAAATATGAAGTGGGGAGAAACTGAATCAATTTTTTTCCTCCTGATTTCTTGGGTCAGCTACCAGCCAAAAGCCTTCTGACTTGCCAGCTCTGCTCTCCAGCCCAGGGCCATGCCAGGGGCACTGCCGGGGTGGGGGAACATCTCCCTCCTGCTCAATCCCACTCAGGAATTGCAGTGCCCCTTTCTGTTGCTACAGAAACAGCCATGATGTCATCCCCACAGATGAGGAGGTAGCGCAGGAGCTCCCGGGAAGGGCAGAAAGGTCACACAGGATTGAGTCCTCCCTGTGCCAAACCCCAGGCACCCTGTCCCCCAGCATGCAAAGGTGTGCTGGGGAAGACAAGAGCTGCAGGACAAGAGGTGAAAGGATTTGCGTCCTCAGGAAGCACATTTTAAGCTTTCTATACTGAAAACTCACATATTTTTGGAGGTCTGGAATAGATTCTTCAGTGTACTGGTTTGGAGCAATAATGACATCCAGTGGCTGGTTAGCTTAGTTCTCAAGGGGAATCATGCACAAGCATCCCCCATCCTGTTGCTGCTGAAGGGTGTTAAAGTGGGACAGGCTGGAGCAGATGGACGTGTTTGCAGGTCACTCCATACTCCTGTCACACCTGGAAAAAACAGCACTAGGATGAGCCCTATGGCTCCTCCACCAGCTCAAGAACCTGCTCCCAGGACATGCTCCTGCTGAATCCTCCCCAGCACGCCCCAAGCCTGCTTCTTTTGAAGTTAAAAGTCTCTTGATTTCAGAGAGGGAGCAGAATGAGAGCCAAGAACTCTACTTCTGGCTGCTCCAGGCATACCCCAGGCATACCCCAGGCTTGCTGGAGAAGCACACATGGTGAACACCAACCTCCAGGAGCCAGTCAGGCAGTGTGGGCACTGTACACTGACACAGTTTGTGGCACAGAGTGACAAAAGCCGAGATACCTGAGCCCAGGCTGAGCTCTTTCTGTGCTCAGGGAAACCAGGGAATCCTGAAACACTGGGACACCATGTCAGGATACATGGGCCACAGGTTGCCAAAACAGAGCAACATCATTGGATGTTGCCATGCGAAGGGTGACACTGACTCCTGTGTCCCACAGCTTTCACAGCAATTGCCCTGAAAGAGGTCCCCAGGCACTTACATTATGGGGAAGGGGCCAAGGCCTGGGGCACATCATAACCTCAGCATAGGAGAGGCACTTTTGTCTGCATGGTGGGCAGGAGCACATCTCTGCGGTGTCAGAGGGATGGTCTGGATTCAGTATCTCCCCCCAGCCATGCTGTCCCTCCTTCAGTCCCAGACAGGCTGTATGTGCGCCATTTGGAGAAGCAGTGGCTGGAGATCCTCTTGGCAGACCTCCTCCTGCAAGGTCAGGCTCCCAAGCAGGCACAAAGCCAACCTAAAAAAAAAACAAGCAGCATCTCTGGGCCTTTGGCAAGAAGCAGAGTTGTGTCCCTTTTGCCCAAGCCAGGGACCAGGACAGCACCACCTGGGGGTCTGAGGCACAGAATATCAGCAGATTTATGTGGGATGAAACAAGACTCAGTATCTGGGCCTCAGCCACCACAGTGGGTTCGTCACATTGACAGCAAAGGCAGGAGAATGATTTATTTGAAGCCAGAGCCCAGCTGTTGGGGTTTTAAGGTCTCTGAATGCATCCCTTGCAAAAAGGCAGGTTGGCAAGGCCTGTCAGGAGCGGTTCCTCTACTCATCCCTGCCAACGATTACTGGGTCAGGCAGAGGCTTCACTCTGGAGCTGATGGCTTTACATGCATGGATGTTCCCAGTTCCCCTCAAGGCTCCAGCAGCAAATGCAGCTCAGCTCACGTGTGCCTGCCCAGACCCCAACCAAGCCACTGAGACGTGAAGGATGCAGTTATGCAAGCGGAGAGAGCACCAGTGCCTCTGCCCCTGCAGCTCACTGAGCTGGCACAGGGGCTGGCACAGCCCGGGCTGTCGGCACTGCTGGACACAGCTGAGCATCACACGGGGGCTGCACTCACCATGCAGGCTCTGGCACTCCACGTCTGGCACCTCACATCACTGCCAGAGTGGACTGGATAACTGGGATCAGTGTGGATCCAGGCCACGGCCATGGCACGGACTCAGGAGTCTCTCACCCCTTGACAGCAGCCATGAAGTTCTCCCTCATATGTGCTGTGCTAGGAGTGTGAGGTTTGCCTCATGTCTGCTTCTCATCTCAGCTGTAGCTGAATCTCAGGAAGAGACACTTTGTCCAGGACGAGCAGATGGAGATTCATCTCAAAGGAACCTGGGAGAATGTTAAAGTCGATTAAGCCAGGGGTACTAATTGCAGAGAGTCAACAGGCATCTCTTGCTGCCCTGGAAGATGTGCAAAGACCCATGAACAGTCAGGGACACAGATGATGAGCTGATTTAAGGAATCACCTCTTTAAAAAGCCACTTTAACAGTAAGGTCATCACCTTGTTGAATGATCCCACGTGACTTACATTTTCCCAGCACTGATCACAGCAGTTTCTATCACAGCCTATAAGCACACATACACCTTCATTTCAGTGAGGCAGCTGCTGTGATGGCCTTGCTCACACTCCTCACTCCTCAGAGAGGATTGCTGTGTGTGCCCAGCACCCAAACACAACTGCAGGGGGAAAGTGCCTCCTGGCATTGCTGTTAGCAGGGCAAGTGTATGGTTTAACAGCTGTAATGGGCCTCAGAACTGCCTGTCTCCAGCTCACAGGGGAAAGGGTTTCTGCCAACACGGTGCTTCTCCATGGGATGTTTCACCCAGGTGATGAACGAACAGGCTTCTTGTTCTTTTCTGCTCTTAAAATTAATAGCAAGTGCTCAGAGTCACATCTGCATGGGAGAGGCACTCTAGAGTCCGCTGTGCCTCTCTCCTGCTGTTCCTGACAGGCCACCAGTACTTCAGCAGTTCCAGGAGAGGAGAAGCCCTGAGGCTCTCCCCTTGAAGTGCCGTGTGCTGCCTTTACAAGGAAGTCTCTGCTGAAGTGAGGGAGAGATCAGCCACAGCTGGTCCAGGTGTAACCCTGGCCAACACATCATCTGGCTGGGACACCTTCATCTTTGCAGAGCCTTGGCAAGACCCTGCCTGATGCCAGGAGCCTGGTGGTCTCAACCAGCTCTTCTTGACCAGCTGCTGGTGCACAGAGCCAAGATCACAGAGAGCAGGAAGCAATTCAGGACCAGTCCTGCTGTGGAGGTTTCTCAAGCAAAAAGCAGAAGAAAGAGACTGTTGCACAAGTGCAGGAAAAGCTCCTCAAACACTTGGTAGGGATTTTTCCTGGGGAGGCATGAGGGACAGCCAGCATTTGAGAGAGCAGGGAGGCAGGATGCAGGTCCGACCCCAGCAGTAAGTGGACGCATAGCCACAGGCAATGCTGCCAGTGGTTTGCAATCTCCTTTCATATAGATGCTGTCTCCCTCACCTTCATTTCATTGCTATTGCTCATTTCTGGTCTGTAGGGAAAGGAAGAAAGGAGAAAGAAAAGGAAAGGAAGGGGGAAAAGGGAGAAAGAAAAAAGAAAGAAAGAGAAGAAAGAAACAGGAAAGGGAAATGGAAAAAGGAAAGAAAAAGAGAAAAGCTATTGCAGACCCAAAGGACCCTTCCAGCCCAACATTTAATAGGTTTTCTCCTGTTATATTAGCACTAGACAATCAAACTGTTCAGCACAAGGTTATTTCCCTCTAGGTTAGAGTGGTGACTTGGCGAATGCTTAAGGAGATCTAACAGACATGTTATTGTGTTCGTGAAGGCTGAGGGATCACCAAAAGCTCGTGCTGGTCTCTAATGGCCTCGTGCTGCTGGGCATGCTGGGTTTGGAATGGGACAAACCAGAGGTCTCAGCTGAGGGACCTCACACCAAGCTCTGCCTTTGTCCTGGGAGGAAGGGACCCCATTCCCCGGCCACCCGCAGACATTTGGCAGTTGTCTCCCAGTTCACCTGTGCAGACATGTGGCTATGCTGGGCTTCCCAATGTGCAGTTGCCAGCTGCCATTGAACAGCTGCCACTTGGCCTCCTGAGAGGGCTGTTTCCTAATGCCAGCATCAAATCCTCCATCACTTCTCAAAATGCTGTGGGAACAAATACATGTTGTACCAACATGTTACTGCTGCAACCCCTCCTGCCCGCACCCGTGCTGTGCACTGAGTAATCTGCTGCCCAGTTCCACTGTGGGTCCCAATCCACAGCCAGTCCCACTGCTAAAAAGTGGGTTTCAGTTATAGAAATGGATTTTTTTTCCCTCTTCCAGCTAGTGCCCACAAGGTACAATTTTGTCAGTCATTAATTAAGCAAAATCATGTATTTCCTTCCTTCAGGCAGGGCTCCTTACACCCTTATATCTTAGCCTCAATATCCTCTACTTTCCTCCACAGACTTAATTTCCTTCATCTTTTGTCCTGTAACTCCTCCCTGCAACTTCCCATGCTCGTGCCTCTCTCCCTCCTTCCCTCCTTTCCTCCCTCCTTCCCTCCCTCCCTTCCTTCTTTCCCTCCTTCCTTCTCCTTTAATTGTTTTCTTCTGTGTTTTTTTTCTCTTTTCTGTTTTTTCTCTTCTCTTCTCTTCTCTTCTCTTCTCTTCTCTTCTCTTCTCTTCTCTTCTCTTCTCTTCTCTTCTCTTCTCTTCTCTTCTCTTCTCTTCTCTTCTCTTCTCTTCTCTTCTCTTCTCTTTCTCTTCTCTTCTCTTCTCTTCTCTTCTCTTCTCTTCTCTTCTCTTCTCTTCTCTTCTCTTCTCTTCTCTTCTCTTCTCTCTTCTTTTCTCTTCCTCCTCCCCCCTCTTCCTCTTCCCTTTCTTCTTCTCTCTTTCTTTCATACTTCATTTTCTTTGAATGCTCTGATTTCAACCCAGAGTCACCATTTGTGTCCTATTCCCCCCCCCCCCCCCCCATTTCATTTTAGGCCTCTAATTTACCAGGATTGAGTTTTATTATAAAGAATAGAAATGTCCATGTAGTTAAAGCTCTGGGGCTGAGATATGGGTTTAACTCCCATCCCTGCCACACTCTGTTTGTACAGTAGGGTGCTTAGATATGACAGCTGTGAGACCCACAGAAAATCCCTCTGAGGCTTATTTATGGAGGATGGTACAGTGCATTTGAACATCTAGTCCCTACAGGTGCAGAGTTGTTCAATCTCACATTTTCCTAGTCCATGTGACTCTTCTGTGGAGTTTAGAAACCTCAATATCTCCCCAGCCTGGCATTGCTCTGTTGCTAGCATAAATCCCAGCTCCCCTGTGCTGCAGCAAGCCTTTTAGAGCTCTTTTAAATGACATTACCTTTTCCTTGTACATTTTTGATCCAAAGCACAGAAGAAAGCTAACAGAGGGAAATCAGCACTTTAGCTTGGTGATGTGGCAGTTCATAAGAAAGTCAGCTTATGTGGGTTTGGATGATACAGAAATTGGCTAGTGGGAAGAATATTTACAGGAGTCTTTTCTCAGCTTTGGAATTAGAGAAAATAATCCTACTAAATTAAACAAAAGTGATAATAATATAAAAGAGTGCTCCTTAAACGTAACAGCTTCCTTCCTTGCCAGCAACATAGAACTCAATGTTTTCAACACATGTATAATGCATTTTTAATGTAAACAGCGTGAGGCAAAATTCCAGCATAGGATGTGAAAGAGAAATTGTTCAGGAAGGGAGCTGGGGAAATTGCTAACGCTGCAACAGAATGGAACTTTCTCTAAATCCCAAGCTCTGTCTGTGGGGCATTACAGCATCAATACCATTATCGCTGCACACCATGGGCCGCTTATTGCCTTTAATTATGTTAGTAAAATAAAGGATCCTTTCTGGCCGGACTGGATGGACAATGTTAAGCCATGCTGGAAAAGCTGGATAAACCTCATTAAGGAGAATTTGGCACAGGGAGAGATAAGGCTGTGTGCTCACCAAGTTCAGGATACTTCAAAGGGAAAAAAGGCTTTTGATAATGGATTTCTCAGAAGTCGGGACATGACTGGGCACCTTACTCATCCTACAGCCAACTGCTCACAGAGGAGGGGAGGTCTTCCTGGAAAGGGCCCTCTGCTCATATTGCCACTTCCACAGACATGTGCTGTAATGGTGCTGCATCATAACTATAATTTTAGGGTTACAAGACTCTGCCCCTTTGTTTCAGTGCTCCTGAAACCACAGAGCATGCAGTGAAAGGGCCGTGGCCCCAGGCACGCACACAATGGGATGGCAGATCCCTGTGGATCTGCTGCATCCAATGGTTCCCAGACTGTATGGGCAGCTGGGCTGCACGTTCTCCTGTGCTCCATCTTGTGTTTGCATTGAAGACACGGTGAGGGAGGAAGGAGCAGGGTTATTATGCATGCAGACAAGAGTGATCAGGGAGGGATGGCAAGGACACTTTGGGGACAAGGTTAGAATTCAAAATGATTTAGACAAGTTGGATGAAATGGCCCCAAATACCGAGGTGAAATGCAAACTGGGGACAACAGCAAGCCCTGCTGGAGGCACAGACTGCTCATATCCAGGGTGTGAATGACTGAAGGCATGCTCTTTATTCCAGAAAGGAGCTGGGATAACAGCAGTCACAGGGCAGGGGTCTGTCCTGCAGCTCTGTTCTGAATGAGGAATGGTCCCTCTCGCTGTGTAGCCTAACAAGTGGCAGAGGAGGATTTTAGTCTCGTCTCTCCCTCAGCTCAACTACTCAGTCCTTAAGGCCTTTAAAAGATAACCTCCATGAGGAAGGGAATGGTCTGTCTTCTGCAGCTGCAGCAGACAGGACAAGATGACACAGGTTTGAATTGCAGTGAGAGCAAATCAGGTTAGACACAGAGGACTGTTTACAGGGTCTGGAGCAGATAACTTTGGCATGCTGGGGAGTCTCCATGCCGACAGCTGTAAACTCTCCTGTTAGTGTACGAGTCTAAAATGCCATCTGTGTGGCAAGAGGAATTTGGGAATTTTACGCATCCTCAAGGAGAGGAGGTGGTCTGGGTTCCCCTGAAGCATTTTCCCTAGCACAGGGGAGGCAAGGCCGGTTCATTGTCCTATGTACTAACACTGCTCTGAATATTGGGAAAAGATAGAAGCGATGCTATTTTTGAAGGCAATATTGAACATAAATAGACATGGCAAGGTGCCAGCTTCAAACCAGAACTGTTTCCAATAGAGCTGGGTGAGGCACTCAAAGAGTCTTTTGAAAAATCCATTAAGGCTCCATCAAAACAAGGAGCTTTTCAGAATGACAGACACATAGGTGCCTTCTTCATCTCATTCATTGAAATAAAAAAATCAGGCACGTTTTCTCCTTATTTCCTTTCACACAGACTCAGCCCCTCCAGAGGAAAAAAAAAATAAATTCAAGTTTCTGTTGTGGAGAAGAAGGCAGCACCATTTCAAGTTTTAACAGATCTTCTATTGATCAGGCTTAAATTGGCTGCGTGCTGCCTGCAGTTGAGCTCCGCTGCACTGCTGCTGACATGGAAAGGACTTAGCAGGCAAGCAGAGAGCTCACCAGCCTGCAACCCTCATCCAGTGCTCAAAGCTTCAATATGCAGAAGCTTTCAAGGCTGAAAAGCCCAGGCTTTTGCCTTTCCACCAGTAGGTCTTTGAACACCTCTGGGTCTTTGTAATAGCAGCATTTGCTTCATCATTTCAGTTTCTGCATGAGTCACAGTTCCCCTCATGTACTACTTTTCCTTTCCCACTCTGCCTCAGAGATAAGAATTCAGTGTCCCAGAGCAGAGATTTGAGAAACCTCAGGCAATGGATTCATGTCCAGAAAAAAAATGAATCTTATCTACGACAAAGAGGGAAAAGGAAGGGGGCGAAATATGTTTGTAGTAAAATTGTTAAGAGACCAAATCGGTGCCTCCTTAGGAAGTTCCTGGGATGTAAAGCACCAATTAACGTGCACATGATGTGAAATATGAATAGGCCAGGGCTTTGACTCATCCCCCAGTACAAACCAAGTGAAGAGTTTGAGTTGGCAACACAAGTAGCAATTTGAAGAGGGAAAAGGAAAGCCTTTCATTCTATCTGGATGTGCCTCCAGCCATAGCAGAGGGACAGAGGAAGTCAAACAAGTTCGGAAATGCCAAGACATGGAGATGTGACCTGAGGGTGCCTGTGGTCTGCCTTGGCCACATGCCAGAGCACGGCCCCAGGTCCATGCAATTATTTCCATTGTGAATTCAATAACCATTGCAAACTTGCACACACGAGCAAGGACCTCAGACTAGAAAGGAACAATACACACTTCAGCTGTGGACCCCCAAGCACTGGGTCATGCTAATCAATCAACCCACTCAGTGCCTCTGGCAGAGAAATGTTTTTAAAATATTTTAGGAGACAGGAAAACGATCAAATTGTTGAGAAAGCCACCAGAACTGGTCATTCGATTCTTTAGAAGATGCTAGTTCTACCTGTTTGTAAGGGAGCTGAACGCTGGGGACATGGAGAGGTAGATGAGTGATAAGTCCTTGGCTGTGACCTCCAACTGACCCAGGTAAGACAGCACCAATGCCCCGTCCTGCCTGGCTGATTGATATTTGGGACCCAGCAGGGTTGGTGTTCAGGCACTGAGGACAAACCAAAGCCATTTTTGGTGCTCTCTCTATTTACAGCTGCAGCACAACCAAATCCATCAAGCAGGAAGAGGAGTTGTCACTGTCACATCCCGGAGGAAGACTGGGCTGACTCAATTAGGAGACGTACACGAGTATTGATTATTGCCAAGTACAAATTCTCTCTCCCTCTCAACTATGTGGTACTGTTAGTTTATTTTCCTCCTCCAGGTTATTCTTAATTTCAAAATAACACAATTGTTGTTGTTCCCAATGTACAATACAAATTGACAATATAATATAGCTTGTATTACCACAGTCCCTACTGGCCTCTGATGAGTTAGTAATTCAACCATCTGATTTCCTCATTTTTTTTTTTTTCCTTTTTGCTTGTGGATTCCAAGCTCTCTGAAAATGTATTTCTTGTTTACATTCAAAGCAAAGCCACCTCACAGCCATAGGATGTCTGAAAGATTTTTCTTGCCCTTCAACTCTACTATAGAGGAGGCTGGATCTGTTCCAAAGATCTTCTCCTGTAATCGCAGCCATCAGTGACTTATCCCCAGGGAAATTTATGCCAACCTCTCTCTGTATGCTGGGACAACTGTTTTGGAGGGGGCAGTAGAGCCTGTGAGCTTCCTGCCTCAGCTTACAGGTTGGCACTAAGCAGGGAATGGATGTAGCAAGCTATGGTGTGCCAGGACCAAATGCATCTCCCTACAGACCTGTTTCTCCAGGTGGGAATCCATCATCCCTGCCTCTGGAAATAAAGCCATTGGAGGATCTTGCTATAAACTTATGAGCCTAAAAAAGGGCCTCCTGGATCTGAAAATGGAGATCTCACGGTCCTGCACTCGGTCAGAGCAAATAGAAAGGTTGAACTTCCTACGCAAGCATCATCACTCTCCTGCCCTTGTAGTGCAATTTGGGAGCCCAACTTCTCCCACACCTGCAGTTTCTTGCATGGAACTGGCAAAATGCACCGACTGCTTTGAATAAGCCTAGGGACTCAGAGGTCCCATGATCTCACCAGAAGATATTAAAATTCTTCATCTTCCTCTCGCCTGATGGAAGAGGTATGAACTGTGCTTGGGCCAGTTAGAAATTAAACCATTTCCAGTGTATAACATCTATTGCTCTCCTTGGGGATGACTCAGGATGTGAGTTACACATTTATGGTGGAATGGTACTGGAGAGGACAGCAGGGCCAGCACTTCAGTTCTGTATTTATGGATATCATCAGAAAAGTTTTATTGGATACATATTTTGCATCCCTCTCTCTGGAGGACTTTCACAGTATTTTTGTTCTCTTGCTTTCAGTAACTGATTTTATACATGTATGTACACAGAGGGGATGTGGGCAAGAATTCCTCAAAGTATGGAGAAACAGTGATTGTTTCCCACTTGACATAGGGAGGGAAAGCACTGAGCATCTCAGGTGCTGGTTAACCTATAAATGAAAAATAAGGAAGACAAGGAAAAGGAATATTAAATTATGTAAATGCTTAGGGGAATCATATCTTGGCTCATATACAAGTCTAAGCTGCTGCAGGAAAGAAATGGGAAGACTGGGCTGGAGGAAATGCGACAATTGGTGTCTTCCCATGGAAAGCAAGGGAAAACCTTCAGCTTCCATAGAATGGAAAACAGCTCCACTTATAAAACAGTTTAGGTCAGATTAACACTACATAAAAACAGTGATGGGTTTTGCCCTCAAAACCAAATAGCAAAGCAAGTCCCATGGTCAAATATAGTTTATCCACACATGCAGCTGACACACAGCCCTGTAAGGGTTGTTCCCATTGCATGAAGCTCCTGCTTTATTGTGAAGAAGGAGCTGTAGTATGGGGAGAGCATCCACAGAGATGGAGCTTGCACACTGGTCTTTCTCCTTCAGACAGGAATCAAGTCTCTTGGGAACACGTATTGGATTTTTGCAGGTACAGCCTCCTTCATAATTTATGGCAGGCTGCCTCAAAACCTCCCTGGATGCTTTCCTTTTCCCCATGCAGACATGTAGGACCCAGGACCAGTGCAAGAAACGTCAAATCCCACAGCAGCTCACTTGTCTGATGGCAAGGATGGGTACTGACACATTTTTCTCTAGTCCTGCTGTCTCCAGCTTCTCTGTGGGAGCTGATGCTGCAGGACTCATCTTGCACTGTTATGTAGATAAGTAGAAACTCCTCTCCAAAGCTCTAACGTGCCTTCCAAGTCAACAGGAAATAAACTTCTGCAAAGAATGCTGAGTTGTAAGGCTGGTCCCAGCTGGTTTTGGGAACACTGTTCTGTTGGAAACCATATTTCACGGTGTTTAACTGTGACAGGATTTTCTGAAGAAGGCCAAGCATGTGGGAACATTTCTCACTCCCTGGAAGCTAATGGTTGGTCCTCAGCACAGATTTACAATTTAATTGAAAAAAATGAGAGAAAGAGAAGAAATTTTGATTAACACTGCTCTTAATCATCAAAGCTTTGGCTGGGCATCCCCTGGTTTTGCCAGCCCAAGTCATAACATGTATTACAGGACTACAGTAGAAACATCCAGAGAGGAGAATAAAGCAAGAATGAGGCAAAGGACAGTCTCACTTACTCAGGAGTAACTCCACGACATAAATAGCTACTTCACATTTATGAAGATGTGGAAACTCAGCTTGTCCCAGTGCCTTCTCGACACTGAACATTTTTCCTTCCTTCTAATCTTTAGGACCTTCCCCAGCAAGCCTCCCTTCAGGCTCCTATTTGTAATATTTGCATGATATATCAGGAAACATCTCTAAAAAGAGACATCAGTCTATGGCATGGAATTCTCTCTGGGAAATTATCTGCTGTGCTGCAGGCTGTGAAGGGGAGATCTGTTACCATTCAAGAGCTGTCCCATTCAAAAACTGCTGAAGCAAAGAGCAAAAATTCTCTGAGTCAACGCTGAACCAAAGTCCCAGCCAACATCAGGGAGCCCTTCCTGTTAGAAGAGCCTCTTTTCAGATAAGACTTTCATCCAAGGTTATCTGAACATTTGCAATCAAATGGCATTTTGTGCTAACATTAATCCTGGTGTCCTGGCCACATTCCAGTTCGAGTAACAACCTTCTGCCAACTTAAATTCCTCCAGAGGTTTCAGTAGGATGCAATTTTTTCCCTCTTTTCTGTATTCTATTTCTGGATAGTTAATTCTGGACAGTGCAAAAGACTGACCACATTCTAACCCAGCACCGGTAGCACTTCACTTGTGAGAAAAGTGGACCTTGAAGTGAGAAGGACCAAAATGCTGCATGAAAGCACATTATTAATAATAAATGGCTTTTACAATGCATTTCTACTTTTCTTTTAAGTTCTGGTATCAATGGAAAATGTAGAGCTGGAATACTATTGAGATCCCTGAGAAAGTTTATTGGCAATCCCAGCAATCGGAACAGAGGAGTGCATTTTAAGTTGTAATCAATACACTTGTGACACAAATGAAAGGGAGATGTTATATAAGGAGTTTTTTCCACTGGAGAGAGCCCTGACAGCCAGTTATTGCACTGAGGAAAGGAAGTGATCCAGATGGACTCTCCGTCACACTAATGAAGCCATCTCATAACTGTAACAGAGACCTCGTGTATCTGCTGTGACACTTAGCAAATCCGGGCATGAATAAATAACCAAAGTCCAATTGAATTAACCTCCAGCTGATCAGCCCTACTAAACAAATTATCCTAAACTCTGAACAAGATTAAAAGGACTGGCACAGGCCAGAATCATGTGGCAGGAGTGTTAATTCAGTTTAACAAGTTTAAACCTAATCCCTCGGTGTTCTCTGATTTCAGGGTTTCAGGGCAAACAGGTTCTAAAATGCTCTTGGAAGGGTTAGAAAGGGAGGCTCGCATGAAGTTGAGAATAAAAACATGATCTCAGCCTGGAGTCACCTAAAGAAACAGAAGAGGAATTGCCAGTGCAGAGCAGAGAAGGACTTAGGCAGAGCATTTCTTACAGAGACAGAAGAGGGTAGGAAAATGACTTTGATTTCCTTATGGAATATTCCAACCTCATTTCCAGGATGAAACTTAAAAGGTTGATAGTACATCTGCTTTTCTTGATTTTCATGTTTCTTGTGCAGAAATAGAAGATAAGCACCTACGAAATAAGAGACAATGCTTCATTTTAATGCCATTTTCTCCAGTATATAATTGTATTTTTCTCCTAAGAGTACATTTATACTGTCCATCAAAAGCACAATTCAATTATCACAAACTTCAGTTCATTACTTAGAATGGCACTAACAAAGAAACAAAGTACTTGTTTTTTTCTATGTTGATTCATAAAAGAATTTATGTGGTCAGTTAAAATTAACTTTAAACTTCAACTTTAATAGACTCAACATTTTGCAGGGTTTTGAAATGTTAAACCTGCTTCCAAGAGAAACTATTTATTTGATTAATTTCTAGACAGAGGAGGAGATGTAGTAAACTCTACAAGTTTTCTGAAACGGAGATAACCACGATTTGAAACTCTTCTAAATACAAGTTCCTGCAGTATATGCACGTGCCTAACAAAATCTTTCCAATCAAAAACTTCCTCATACTTGTATTTCCAATTTTCTGTCTTAGGTAAGTCCTTCAATACAGCTCCCAGCTCCCAGCTTCCTATAATCTCACACTTCTTCAGTGAGTCTGGTTAGTATATGTACAGAAATCTGTCTCTCTACAGCCCACAGAAGAGCACCTGCTTGCATTCTTTTGCCTTGCCATGGAATGTCTTTATGCAGGTCTGGCTTGGATTCTTTATTGTCATCTACAGCATAACTGTAGCTTTATGTGCTAAACTTCAGCACCAGATAGGATGTTCATTTTGACTAGATGGTAAAGAAATTTAATGTACCAGGAAAGAGGAAGCATTCAGACATCAGGTATTTTCACCATCTCCATCTTCAACATCCAGAAAGAACTTAAAAATCAGATAGAGCCAATCTTCATCTAATATTCAAGAGTAATTCATTATACCCAGGAATCATTTTGGTACTGTTTCATTGGCAAGGCACAGAGTTGTCCACTTTGTTGGGAAATGCCTGAATGCTTCCACATATTTAAGTTTTGCAAAATGAATACCTCCTGTAATTCTGAAACTTCTGTTACACAACCCTCGAAATGGAATCATGACCTATCACTGTGTACTTTGCTATTATTTATGCAGTATATAAATGCAAGGTAAATATTTATTCTCATTTTCCACTGTGTGCACTGACTGATATCTCCCAAAGTTAACAGCAGCATTATGAACTGCAAATGATGACACATTGTCAAAGTTGGAACCATTTGGTTAGATGCCTCTTACATTTTCAAATATTCCCAATGCAATTTCATAACTGTCTTGAACATAATGAGGCAATGGATTTTTCCTCTTTCAACAGTGTAACAATGAACAACTATTAGAACCACTTTATTATTTCCTGAGTTTGAAGGATCAGTGGCCACAGAGAAAATATGCCCTTTTCAACCAAGTTTTTAATTGTTTTCTCACTTGAAAGAGGAGCTAATTTATTACTGGCAGCGCAGAAGGCATTTGTCTCATCAAGATATATCGTTCTAACTATGGGTGAATTCTAGACAACAACACTATTTAATTTGCTGTCACAATTAAGTGATTTATAGAACTGACTATACTATTAGTATCATACTAATACTCTCACATTCTCTTGTTGCTTCTGCAAGAGCCACGGTGTTATTTGCCGTGCTTTCGCACTTCTCGGGAACAGAGGGGTACGAGTTTTGTTCTTAGAAGCTATGCCACAATTATTTTTGCAACCCACTCCATTTGCATGTTGTCTTTCATCTGACAGACCCCCGCGAGCACCTAAAAAACTCCTACATAAACTATAGTGAGCTTTATGGTAATTACTGCTGTCTTTACTGATCCATGGAAATAATTCCTTCAGCCACTGCAGCAGTACGAAACTTCTGCTGTTCGCAGGGTAGATCTGCTGATGGATGATACCATCCACAGGCGCTGTCATGGTCGTGATCTATGTAGGGCTGTTACTTGACAAATGAAAATTATGTAAACAGTACTCAAACTCAATCTTGCCTCATGATGACTCTGTCTGTTCCATACCCCCTGCCTATAGTGTCCAGTACAGCCAGCTGTTATCTCATGATAAATACCGGAGATAAAATTATCATCAGACAGCACCAGGTTGGCTGCATGATGTAATCCTGACTCTTTTAGGTAGCTGGAGCTCTTTTAGCTCTCTTAGGTAGTCTGGAGTGATGCTGGAGATGTATTTCACACATTTCCAGAATGTCATTTTAATTTCAGTCGTTCTTGAAAGTAATTTCTGGATAATTTTTGCAAAGAAATGTAGGATGTGCTGGTTTTAAAGGCACTGAATATATGAAAACTACTGCTGTTTGAGATCAAGTACCCAAGAAACTGCTTTCAGCAATGTCCTTCTGCAGGTGTGACTTGCCTCATCTTGCCAGGCTCTGCAATCTCAGCAGTAGCCCCCTCCTGAAACTCTCCCCCAGCACCAAGGTTGCTCCTTCCTCCTTTCTCCTCCCTGCCCCATGGATCTGTAATCCTCCTTTCCCAGCCTGCACAGCAGCTCAGAAAACACCAATGACACAGCATAACAAAGTCCTACAAGGGCTGGAGTACTCCTCTATTTATAGGTCGCTAAATCTGACTAAAAAAAACTTCCAGAGCTCCAGTCACATTGCTACCTAGATGTTTCCAGGCCCAGCCAGAGCGTGCTGGATCACTGCCATGTTTTTAAATCCTACCCCGTACACTGAGCTTTCGCAGGAAAATCTGCTAGTGCTCATATGTGGGCACTTACTATTGACACAAATATTAATGAACATTCCCATATTGTTTCCTTACTAAGTTGTAAGTGCAAGAAACAAAAACAACAGCATGACCTGACAGTCTCAGGCATGTAAAGACATCCAGCATTTCTATTTCAGATGGGCAGCTGAGTGCAGCTCACACAGAAAAGAAACAATTGGATGTGTTATGTGTGGGGTTTTTTATTAAAAGACGGTTGTTTTGCCGGCTGAATTCTACAACTGGGGAAAAAAAAAAGGTTTAATCAAAAACAAAATAGCTTGGAGCTGTTTTGCAATGCCTAATGGATTGGCTGAACCTTCCCCTTACTCACACAATCAATGAAATAAGAGAAGTCCCACACAGTAAGAGCTGTGTAGACAACTTCAAAACAAGCCAAACCCTTAGACTTGTCTCTCGGAATAAGAATTGATACTCTCATTATCCCAGGGAGCACAGAAAAGGGACCAATGCACAAAACAGCCAGAATCCCCTCACCTCCCTTCAAAATATGAGCACAAACAGAGCCTCAGAGCTTTAACCCTGAGAATGCTGTTCAGGTATCACCTAATTCTGGACACGTCTGAACTCCTCAGCTGCTCACACTCCAACTTCAGGCTTCCCTGCACACATGATGTCCCATTTCTACTCATGTGCAGAGGCAGCTGGGCTGTGGTTATGTTTGGCAGGCCCATACCTATGTCAGGCTAAGCTCTAGAAAGCAGGAGATAAACCAGCCAACGTCAGCCACAGCACGTGTGACTCCTGACTGAGGAGAGCCAGGTTCTAAGCCACGTTTCCAGCGACTGCAGAGAGAGCCAGGCGGGGAGACACAGTTGTTGGGGCTAAGGCTGGTCTCTGAGAACAGCCCCGGGTGTGCTCCTCTCCCTGCCTCCCCCAGGGCCTCAATCCAGTAGTATTTTCTGAACAACACTCTGCTAGACTATCAAAATGCAGTGAGGATGGCTTGAAAGGAGAAATCCAGGGTATGGATTTCTGCCATCCCTCCTACTCCTTTGACACAACAGCTCCATGGAAAGAGTTGCTCACACAACCCTGCACCACCCACGCCCCCGACCTTGCTGTGACAGCAATAAGGGGAGCAGGAACATTCTGATATCGTCTGGCCCGAGGAATGTACTCGCAGGCAGCTCTGCTTCACGTACCTGATTTATAACAAGGGTCAGAATAATTCCCAAGCAGCTCCTGCATCAGGGAGCAAACTAATTCCTTTCCTCTCTCCTTGGCTGCGCAGCCCAGGGCCCAGCTGCACCCGAGGTTCCAGCTCACAGTCTATATTCTGCATCATAAAAGATACAAGAGAGAAATCTAAACTAGAGAAGTAATAACCTGTAAACTAATAAACCAACCCAGCACTTTGATAGTGAGGCCCTCCCCAGAGCAGGGATTATTAATGGATGTTCTGAAACACTGTGTGTCTAGTTTTCGAGAGAAGTGGGAAACATTTCTGATGCTCTAAGGATCTTATGCATTTGTTCTTATAAAATCAGTTCAGATAAATGCAAAGACTAATATAAAAGCAGCCTCCTTCCAGTCTACACACACAGAGGCGCTGAGGCAGTTTAAAAAGAAGAGTAATACAAAACTGCTCAAATAAATAATAATAAAGGTATAAAGCGGCAACATTAAGAATAGCTTTTCTTGTCAACGTATGGGGCTGCACAGTCATTGATTTTGTCTCATAATTGAGATAGTGATATGCACAACTTATGTTTCTTCAACAGTGAGTGCATGGGAATGGAAGAAGGGATCCTGAAATTCTGCAGAATCTCCAGCTGAGAATTTGATGGCTCTGACCTGCTGTCTCGATTCTTTATTTTCCCTGAACTGTAAAATGGGGTATATTAATAATGTGTTATGTCAAAAGACAGCTTATGAAGCTAAGTGTAATAATGTTTGCAATGTGATTAGGGATCTTTGGAGGAATAGTGCTGTAGAAACCAGGAGTGTAAGTGTGCATCCAGGTCTCTCTCAGCCACAAAATGCTGGGAAGCAGATGGCAGGCAGACAGACCCCTCAGGAAAGGTCCCATTACCTGCCACAGTGTGTATTCTCAAATCTCAATCCCCTATATGTCACACAGACAATAGGACTCTTCTCTTTAGTTCATTTTTTTTAATGTATTTACTGCCAGTGATGAAGATTCAGTGCTTAGTTACTTCAGTTTACTATATCCCACCTCAGCTACATGCCAAAATGAGACATCCAATTTAAAGAAACTGTTAAAGACAACTTTTTCATCCCAAACTAATGCAAAACAGCGAAGAATGGTGAATCCCTGTAAATCTGAACAACAGCTTTTTGTCCTCCTGACATGTAAAAAATAAAATGGAGTCTGGTGAGGATGGCAGGAAGAACTGGGTCCTTTGTGTTTCCTGAAGTAAAGTTACTCTCTGGAGAAGGCAGAGCAGGAATAAACTTCTTTATGAGTCAGGAGGTTTTACTGACAATAGCTGCTATTATCTCTGTCAAACAGGCAAAGTCTCGAGTGATTGTGGTAAGCAAGAAAGAGGAATGCTGTTTATTCACAGTGCTGGAAAACAGACTATTTGCCAGACTGCAAAGAGTACCGAAAAGGTATCGAGCCTCTGTTTGAATTAACCACAAAAATAACCTGCTGAATTAAAAGCTTTTCCGTGGACCTCTGCTGCTCTCTAACGGTGCCTTCCAGGATTCTCATCACAAAGTCTATGCGCTCTTCCTGTAGTCAAGTTTTGGTAAAACTTTTAATGCAAAACAAAAGGAATATTCATGAGGTTCTTAAGATATGTTGCCTGAACTGATAACCCACAACTCAGGCAGCTATTGCTGCAGCCACAACTGGGATATTTAGTGTGTGGCGGGAATGCCAGTAAAGGAGAGCTAAAACATAGCAATGAAGGCTTCGAGCATACATTAGATGCAGCAATTGCAAGAGTCTGGAAGGTTGCAAACCTCTGAGAAATCCCAATTTTCAGGGCTATGTATAAATTAGAATACAAAACTATTATTCACGAGTACTAGTATTACAAAGAAAAACGTTAGCACCAGATCAATTGTGTGTAATTAACAGAAACTAATGTCTGCACCCGGGACAGTCATGTTTGGTTTTGCTCTCTTCACAAAAGTGTCCTTATTTTATCCCCCACAACAGCTCCACTGGGCAGCTGCCATCACTCACTCAACCACGGGCAAGGCTATGGGAGCCATAGCCCAAAAACAGCCTTATTTTCACAGAATCACAAAACAGTTTGGGTTGGAAGCGACCTTAAAGCTCATCTTGTTCCAACCCCCTGCCATGGCCAGGGACACCTTCCACTATCCCAGGTTGCTCCAAGCCCCGTCCAACCTGGCCTTGGGCACTTCCAGGGGCGGGGAATCCACAGCTTCTCTGGGCAACCTGTGCCAGGACCTCACAACCCTCGTAGTGAAGTTCTTCGCAATATCTAATCCAAATTTCTCTGCATTTAGTTTAAAAACATTCTCCTTCGTCCTATCCCTGTCTTCCCGTGTAAAAAGTCGCTCTCCCTCTATTTTTATCAGCCTGCTTTACAAGCCACTTTTTTTTTATTTAGATGGGAAAGCACGCTCAGGGGATTAAAGTGTGACCCAACAGCGCCCAGTGGGTGGGTGCAACCACATCCCCTGAGGAAAAATCAGAACATGCAAATATTTGCAGCCCCGCTGCGGCCCTCAGGGTCACCTGTCCCCTCACGGGCCTGAGGAGGGGGAAACGCCACCCCCTCACGGCGCTGCGGGGTCCTGCCCCGGGACTGCCCCAGCCGCGCTGGGAAGCGGCATAGAACGAGGAGAAAACGGTGGAGGAGACGGCGTTGGGGGAAAGGGCTCCTCCCCGGATCCGGGGCAGGGCCGTTGAGGGACCACGGCCATGAGCAGACGGGGGGGGGGGCTGGAGATGGCGCCTTCCTGCGCGCGAGCGCGGCGGGTAATGGCGGCGGCGGCGCTGAGGGGAGGGGAGGGGACGGGCCGTTGAGGGCAGCGGCCGCCCTGCGCCATCGCCCCGCGCCGGCTGAGGGAGGGAGGAAGGAAAGGAGGGAAGGGAAAGGCGCCGCTTCCGCCGCGGCGGGGCGGGCCTGGGCGGAGAACGGCGGCACGGGTAGGGGCGGCGGGGCCGCGGCCCGGCGGGAGGGGTGATGGTGGCTGTATCTCTGTTTCCCTCAAGAAGAGTCTGGCCCTGCGGGGCCCGGGGTGGAAAGCGGGGCTCGGGGTCCCCTCCCTGGTGCATTGTTCGGACGGAGCCTGTCAGAGCCAGTTCGGCCATGCCGGGGGAGCGATGCCATCGCTGCGAGGCTGCCAAATATCCCCCCCTAATCAGGGGTGCGCTGTCCCGCACTAACACGCACCTCCGGATGCTCCTGTGCTCTGAAACTAACTCAACCCAGGGTGTTTCAAATGATGGGGAAGGATTTGGGCTTTTTACAGCCCGTAGAGACCACGTTCGTAATCTAACGTTGTGTTACTGTTCTTGCCGCTCCGTTCCCTTCCGGCAGCGATGGAAGCGGGTCCCATCGTGACGTCCAAGCAGCGGGAGGAGGTGGTGCACGGCGTCCCCACCGAGGTGGTGTGCACGGCCTTCTCCAACTCCGTGCTCGTGGTGGTCACCCAGTACGGCAAGATGGGCACCATCGTCTACGTGGACCCCAACACCATCGGCGACAACGTGGGCAGGCCCTCGCTCACCACCAAGGTGCTGCTGGGCAAGGATGAGGTGAGAGCGAGCGGATGTGCAGCAAGGATAAGGGGGAAATGTAGTAGGTGGAGCCGTGCGAGTTGCCAGGGAGTTGATGAATCACAGCAGTTAGAGCAGTGTTTGAACAGTGATAAGATTAATTTTAAAATATCTTCTGAGGCAAGAGGGGTTCATCACAGAAGTATGTGCGCTCGTCTGCTGTTTGACATAAAACTTTAACTAACCGTCAGTGGTTTGGGGATCTGTTGTTTTGTGTCCTGCAGGATATGGATTGCTTCTCTGTGTTTATGCAAGGTTTGATAAAGCTTTGTTGATTTAAGGGTTGCAAGATCAAATGTGCAGCCATTGATAACCTTTTGGGTTTCTGTTCCAGTGAGTTTGTTTTTCTTTTCAGGTCTGTTTTGTCACCCCCATCCCCCCACCCAGTGTATGCCAGCCCCATGATGGACTTTAGTTGCCCTCACTTAAGTGTGCCTGCCAGCACTTTCCCTTGATAAAGTTTAATTTGTTTTGCTTCAGCAAAATGAGTTTTTATCAACCATTTCATAAGGCTGGAGAGAAAGCAGAAGAAAATGTGTTTCGCAAAGCATCAACTGGTCAAGAATTAAAACAGAAAGTTACAGAGCTACCTGCTTATGAGGCTTTCCATCAGGGTTGAAGCTATTAAATATTACTTGCTAGCTTTAACTAGAAAAACTGTAGCAACACAAGTTCCTGATTCTATCCACAGCTTCCCCTTGTGGAGTTCTTTTTCTTCAGTAATAGCCTTCCCTTTCTGAATAGGAGATGTTTTGTTTTTCTTTTGTTGGTATGATATGTGCTAATTCTGACCACCTCCACCCCCAAGCTGCTTCTGTGTTTTATTTGGAAATGAATGGGAAGTGTTATGTTTACTTCATTAAATTCTATTTTTAAATCATTTTAACCAACTAAACCGATCTAAACTTTAAGAAAAGGCTTTCACTAGTTTGCTCCTTTCCTGCTTGTCACTGTTAACATCCCTGTTTGGGATGGTGCACACTTCCAAAAAAGACTGGTATTTAAAATCAATCACACTCATCCTTCTGACAGATACACAACTGTGGGTGTCAATGAAACCTAGACAAGCTGAGTGGTTCAAAGCTGTGCTGGATGAGGTTCGGACTGGACATTAGGAAGTACTTTACTGAGAGGGTGGTCAGACACTGAAACAGGCTTGAGGGGGTCGATGCTCTGAGCCTGTCAGTGTTCAAGAGCCATTTGGACAATGCCCTGAATAATGTTTTAACTTGAGTTGGTCAGGCAGTTGGACTAGATATCCTTGTAGGTCCCTTCCAGCTGAAATAGTCATTGCTGTTCTAGTCTATTCTTGTTAAGGAAACCTTACAAGGATGGTTATATCTCTTCTCTTCTTCAGCCTCACTACTTATTTCTGGTTTTCATTATTCTAGTAAAATAAGCAATATGCCTGTTACACAGGAATTCTCTAGGAATTGCAAAAATAGCAGGGTTTTTTCCAGAGTTTGTCAGCAGAACATCCCCTCTTCAGAACAAGTTTTTAAACAAAAGGTTGTACTTGCAGACCTCTTTAGAAGTCTGGCTCTGATGGAAATAAAGACATTTGGATCCACGGCATTTCATATAATTGGATATTGGTGTCATAGTTTGCGTGGGAGGATTAATGGAAGGAAAAATTCTCCACACTGACTTTCCAGTTTTTCCTGACAGTGCTAAAACTCAATTCCAGTGCAGCAGTTAAGTTGCTTCAGGGTGGTTTGGGTGGCTGTCATTCATGGGTCCAAACTCTTCCCTTTTAAGCTGGTTGAGTTTCTAAAGTTTCCTGTCCTATGGCTTGGCTTTGCTGACCATATTGGAACCACACAGCAAATGCCATGCTCAGTCCAAGTCCAGGATCAACAGGTTATTGACATCATTCCTTGACTCTTCCTCTCCCAGCTTGTGTGGGAGGGCTCTCCCATCTGTAGGAATGTACATCTCTGTCCCCTTTGCTTTTCAGCCCCTCGTTCATGTTTGTGCCAAAAACCTGGTGGCGTTCGTGTCACAGGAAGCTGGGAACAAACCTGTTCTTCTCGCCATGGCTTTAAAGGACAAGACCATGGAAGGAATACAGGCTCTACGGGAAGTGATCCGAAGTTGCCAAGTGTGGTGAAGTTGTGCCATCTGGATTCAAGGAAACGATCTCGAGTCCATGACTCATCACCACCTATTTAAAAGGACAAGAAATGAAAATGATGAAATGTCTTTGTGGTGGTTCTGGACGTACTGAGGAATTTGATGAATTTTTCTCTACTGTGTAGAATATTTGTGAGTTTTGTTACTGGGACAGGTTTGCAGTCCATATAGTCAGTGACGGGACAAGAACAATTGTCTCAATACACAAGAGAAGTGTTATTTTTACTGTGTTGGGTGGGTCATATATTTTGGAAAGGGCTCAGCTCTGCACTTGTGTCCTCAGGAGCTGTAGATGCCAAGCTCTGTAGCTGCACTGTACCACAAAGGGGGAACACCCAGTGCAGAGGGAATAAAAGAAACACTGACAAATCTAATTTTACCTGTTTTCTTTTTTCTCTGTGAAAATCACTTCAATTGAAATACAAGCTTTCGTAAAAAGTCAACAATTGCATAATGGGAAAGATTTTCTTGCCTGTTTTTAAGGAAATGAGTCCTATATGACTGCTTTTGTCCTTATGTCAGTTCCTGATGTAGTCTGAATCCATTTTCCACTTTCACTGTGATTTTAAAGAGAAGCAGATAATTATGCTCTGCAAATTTCATGAAAGCTGATGTGAGAGTGGAAGACAGGAACCCAAAATAGTGGTGAGAAGAAGACAAAATAATCTCTGCCAATGGATTACATGGCATCAGCACATGAAAGAGGCAGAACATCCATAGGTTGGACCACCTGCAATGAGCAGCTGTCACAGGAGACTTGGGGACAGACGGTTTGGGCGAGGGTTACACCAAGGTGTTTCTGCTGAGTCATTGACAAAAAGTGTCAGATGAAGTTGTATGAGTTGATGCAAAGCTTAATAGCCAAACTTTTGCCATTTGCTTGGAAAGCACATTTGTTTTTACCTCTCCTACAAGAAGAAGTAGTAAATTTTTAAGTGAGCTGTTACACACTATTGTCACTTATGAACCTGACAGCACAGATGGAGGCCAGGTCTTGGATTCTGGGAAGGGAGGAGCTGTGCTAAGACCTGTTGGTACAACAGAATCAGCACAGAGCCTGTGCCTGCCCCGTGTTGATCCAGCTGCTGGGTCATTTCTGTTGCTAAAAAATCCCCTAGAAGTAGAAAAGCAGAAAATGGATTTCGAAAGGAGTCTTCTCTGAAACAAGGGTTATTTACAGCATTTAAGAGATTATGAGAAATGAAACTTTTTTAAAAAATACATTCAAACACTGCAGGCTTCCGGCTGCCCTTGACAAGAAACTTCATCTAAAAATAATTTTCCAAACTGTGCTTCCAAGAATCAAAGATTTGCATCTGTCATAACTATAAATTTTCCCTCTTCTACATTTCTCCTTTTTTTGTCTAGGAAGGCTGAGAGAGCCATGTGGAATTTGTTATTGTCGATCTGGTTTGCTAGTAGGGATTCTTTTCCAACACAAAATTCAATGTCTATTCCAAATTGTGGTGCTCTTAGTCTGTCCGTATGTCCTGCAACTTTTGGAAAGCATACATTAATTAGCAAATTGGATGGAAATTGCATCTTCCACTGTGGTGATATAGTGGCATACCAGCACTGAGCCCCCAAGACCTGAGTGTCACTACCTAAAAGCCAAGTACAAGTTAACCACCTTAATTTCCTGCTGTGTGCGCCACCAGGTCTGCACAGGGTGGTGGGTGACAAAAGGACGTGGGGATCTCTCCAATGTGATGCTTGGAGCCAGGACAAACTTACCTTGGTGCCTTTCCATGGGCGATAAATTGGAGCACAAGCAATTGGTCCTTCAACTTTGCTCCTCTCTGCTCAGCAGCAAACCAGGGGGAAGGCCTGCCCCAAACGACAGGCACAAGGTGCCACCAGCTCCCTGCCTTTTAGTCATCGCTCTCCTCCGAGTAGGGATTAATTCCAATTTCAAGGAGAGCTGCCTCTGCTGCTCCTGCCCGCGGCCACAGGACGTGTGCCGGGCAGGGGTCAGCGGCGTTGGGCTGCACCGTGGCTTTCCATCCGTGTTTGCTTTCCGGGCGTGGGTGCCGAGTGCGGCAGACCGGAAAGGTAAGTTGGGTGGCTTTTCTGCAGGAGACAAAGCCCAACCTGCTGCTCCAGCTCCCGAGGGGCCCGGGGCACAGCGAGGGCAAGTGGGGCGTTGGCAGGGTGAGCAGGGCCCAGCGAGGGCAAGGGGTGTGCCGGTAAGGTAAGTGGGGTGCTGGCAGGGCCCGGGGCACTACAAGGATAGTTGGGGTGCTGGCAGGGACAGTGGGGTGCTGGTGGGATGAGTGGGGAGCTGGCAGGACGCGGGGAGCTGCAAAGGTAACTGGGGCACTGTCAGGGCCCGCTGCCAGCAGGCGGGCAGGGCTGGGCAGGGCTGGGCAGGGCTGGGAGGGTGTCCGGAGGAGGAGTCTCCCGCGGGTGCAGGTGGAGGAGGGCACGGGGGATGCAGAGGCAGGGGCACGGCAGCCAGACCCACTCCCGGAGGAGCCCCACAGGGTGAGTGGGGCCCTGGGGGGTGCGCAGCGGCTGGGGACACCCCCCACAGACCAGAGGTTGGCCCAGCCACTGGTTCTAAGCACCTGTAGGAGCTGCTGGGGCGGCAGAGCCTGCTGTAAGAGCTCCATGCCTGCGTCATCCAGTCCTCCAGACGGGCTTTAAGCAGGGCTCCATGCTGCCCTGCCTCGATTCATTGCTGTGTGCTTGCTGTAGGTCCTTCCTCCTGGGTGGCCTGGGAGTGGTGTGAAGAGCCTGGTAGGGTAAATAACCCTGAAAAGCAATTGTCTGAAAGCAATCAGGATAAAAGGCATGTCTCCTGTGCTGGTGGGGTTAAGCTTGGATGCTCCCCTTCCCGGGATGTGGGTCAGGGATCTGAGAGGCGCTGGTGGGGGGCTGCAAGGGCTCATCTTTCCTTTCTGACTGCTTCACCTCACAGGGGCTGCTGCCGAGATGGAGATTTGTCCCAGCTGTTTCAGGACACAGGGAGGGATGTGAGCTGGGAGTCCAGGCTCTGACAACCTGCGGATAGAGGGGAATCCCTGGTGAGGTGAAAAGCCTATTTGCAGGTGGCCTGCCTGAACACAGGCTTCACTGCTCAGTTTATCTTCTCAGTGCTCACCTGGCATCTCTAATATCCCAGGGAGCGAGTGTAACAGGTAGATGCTGCATGGCAGGTACCTGCAAGGTGTCTGAAAACAGACAGATTGGATGTGGCACTGGCGCAGTCCCGTCCAGGAACTGAGTTTTGCAGCTGATATTATTCCCGGTGTCTCCTTGCTGCCTTTGTTTTGGAAGTAAATGGCTCTCTAACTGCATTGAATTGCCCGACTACCTTGCATGGCCGGGATCTAATTACCTCTGGAGCTGGGAGCCCTATCTCCAAGCGGCACTGAGGCTTTTGCTTTTAATGACTTGCTCTGCCACGTTCAGAGTGTGACAATGTCGGGGAGGCTGCCAGGACCGGCTGCTGGTGCCACCGTGCTCATACTGAGATGGCTGGGAAAGCTAATAAAAGTTGGGATGTCTCAGGCCAAGCGTCTGTGGCACAGCACTGGGTTGAAAACAGAGTAAATGGGTCTAGTGATGAGTGCAGCTCTCTGCCGTGTCTTGGGGAGTGGGCTGGATCACTGGAAAAGTGACTAGAAAAACAGCTAGAAACAATGAGCTTTCGTACAGCTCTATCACGATGCTCTGGTAGAGGGAAAGAGTGGCCAAATCCAGCCATATAGCCCCAGCAGCAGCAGGGTAGCCCCCCAAAAGAGTGAGAAGTGACTGGGAAATGGGGCACAACCAGGCTCTTGTCTCCCTCTTTGTGCCACGAGCTATCTCTGTCCTCCTGTTAATGTTTACAAGGCAGGTCTGGTGTCATTGTGGTCTGTCCAAAGACCAGATCCCTCCCCAGCTTTCCCGGGATCCTTCTTCCTGCTGGCTGGGGCAGGGCCACAGGACAGTCACGGGGAAGAAAAGCCGGCTCCTTGCTGTCTCCATAACACTATTGGCCCCATATCCAGCCATCCCCACTTGTGGGCACAGGTACGCTGGGTGAGCTCCTGGGGCCTGGCCAGCACTCTGCCGCCCCGGCATCTCCGCTTACAGGCAACTCCTGCCAGGAGGAGGCGGGGGGGGGAAAAGGTATTTTTAGGGCTGTTGATCTGACACCAGCTGAGTTTCCTCGCCTGTGAGGTTGGGGTTTGGGGAGAGGGCAGAAGAGGAAGCCGCAGGGTGAGCTCTTGCTTTGGTTTGTTTTCAGTTTTTAATTGGACCGAGGTCATTCCCTACCACTCTTATCTGTGGCAGATATTTTCATGCTTCTCTCCAGTTCATGCTTACAGTTTTACCCCAGGCGATAGTTACCCAGCAGCCAAAATATTTGTTTATTAACAATGCACTGAAAAGCATCTATATTGTTGGAGCTCTGCTCACAGATTGTTGTTGTATTTTTAAAACTGCTATTGTTATGCTTGGAAAAAAGCAGCTTTCCATAGATTAGCAGAAAGAGAACCCAAACATGGCAGTTTATGCATCTGTTGGCCTTGAGATATGAAGCTGCCCTATAAATAATTGCTTATTATTAGGTTGGTCCTTGCTGACTGGAGCCACAGGGTACACGGTGCTCATATGCCCTGGCCACCCTCTGCACCAGGAATGCTCAGTGCCTTGGGGCAACCAGCTTCCAGGAGCACAGGCTGACCAGGGAGATGCTGGAGTGCTCCAGCATCCCTAAGGGGCAGCAGGTTTGCCTGTGGCGTGGCAGGCTTGCTCCCCTGCGCTTAATTTGGGTGCAGGAGGGACCACTGGCTGCCCTTCAGATCTTGGGGTTGGCACTGCTTGGCACAGTGACACTCCCACAGTCCTGAAATAGCTGTATTAAGAACCTGGGTGATGCCAAACATCTAGCTCCTTGGGCAGCCCCGGGCTTTGCCCACAGCAGGCTACACATGACGGACGGAGCCAAATTTGTGGGGGACCACAGGGATCCAGGTGTTTTCTGGGCTCCCAAGGAGGACATCGGTGTCCTGATGGCTTGTTGGTAAGGGACTCATTATTATTATCTTGGGTGAGGGATGGGTTTAACCCTTAAGTCTCTGGTTTATGATGGAAAAGGGTCCTGAGCCACAGGTGTGAACTCACGTGGGCACAAATGTAAGCAGGTTATTCCTTTTCAAGCTGGATAGTTATTCCTGAGAAAACAAGGAGCAAGGCTGGGAAGGAAAAGCATGTGTTTTGGGAGACATGGGGACTGCATAGACCTTCTCAGGGAAAAGAGGGTCTACTCTTGAAGGACGTTTGCATTTCCCTTCTGAGAGGAGCAGAGAAGCAGACCCAACCATGGCAAACGGGTTGGTTTGGCTGAGGGACACGCTGGAAAAACCCTGAGGAGGAGATAACCCTCACAGGAGATTTGTACACTCTGTGTGGGCTGGGAAACCTGCTGGGACCTTCCCTGTCACCAGCTTACCTTGCTCCTGCCTTCCTGCACCACTCCCTTTCCCTCTCCCTCCCTGCAGATGAGTAATGCCACACGTGCTGTGTCCTCTCCTGTGGCACCTGGCACCCTGGGGCCTGGCACTGTGGCCCAGCTGGCCTCAGCCCTCCCATCCCCAGCCTTTTCCCTGCGGATGGCTGCCCACAACAACTCCCAGGATGGCCAGCAGCTCTTCCTGACCACGACAACGGCGCAGGCCATCTCTGGCATCTTCGTGTGGTCGGCACTCATCGTCACCTTCCACCAGGTACGGGCTGGAGTGGAGATGGGGCTCAGCGCTGGGGTTGACACGAGGGCAAAACTATTGATTGCCCCCAAGTTCGTTGCAAATCACTCAGCTCTGGATAAGTATTTCTTCCTGCTGCTGCCCACAGGAGATATCTCCGCTGTCAGGAGCCTGGTGCTGGCAGCTTGGGAGGATGGACTTTGTCCACACTCTCCCCGAGTGGTTGCCAGAGCCAGGAGAGGCTGCAGGACATTGATACTGCCTGGAGGCAACACCCAGCAGGGTGTTCAGGGTGCACAGCACCAGCTGCCCTGAGCCACACTGCCAGTGGGCATGGTTTAGGGTACTGTGCAGATCTGTGCTGCTGAAGGCAGCCCTGGGGCAAGTTGGTGCCTCCAAGCACTGGGATGGAGCTGCCCAGGAGAAGGCACACTCCTTGCACAGCCCCAAGGAATGAACCCGATTTCCACATGTTTTCATGCAAGGGATTGCCACAGGGACTGGGATGGAGCCCATCTCATGTCTGTTCCCTGCGGTGGGTCTGTGGTAGGAAGCTGGCAGAGCTCTCATCCCCGGGAGGAAGGCTGACAGGGCACCCCTGTGGGATGGGGGTATCTTTGGTTCCCATCCTGACCTTTGGTAGCCACAACTCTGCATTCTGGGCACTTTGCAGATCTACACACACCTGAGGAATTACACCATGCCCAAGGAGCAGCGCTACATCATCCGCATCCTCTTCATCGTGCCCATCTATGCCTTCGACTCCTGGCTCAGCCTCCTCCTCCTCGGCAGCCACCAGTACTATGTCTACTTTGACTCGGTTCGTGACTGCTATGAAGGTGAGCACAGCCTCTCCTCAGCAGGGAAGCTGATGGCAAAGCAGGGCTCTCATCCTGCTGACCAAACTCTGGAGCATCCTGATTGCACAAAGTGGCAAATATCCATCACTTTCACTTCCCACTCCCCTCCCTGTAGAGGTTTTCCCCTTCCTTCTCCATCAGCAGCAGGGAGAGGGTGCCCCACAGACAATGAGCTGGTGCCTTTCAGACACCTGGCTGCAGGCTCAGAGGGACCCCAGTACCATGCTCCTGGGGAAGGAGGTTTTCTGGCTCCCTGTAGGGTAGAAATGCAGCTTCTCCAAAGCGGAAAGCAGACATACCCAAGAAACCGGGGACTTGGGGTGTTTTAAGGTGCTAGATTAATTTTGCTTTTTTGTCTTGTTGCTCTACTCCTGGGGAACTAAGTGGTGTGAGTGTTTGTATTACTTCAGGTTTGGAGCATATGAAACATAAGTGATAGGGATGTCCAGAAAAAGTGTTCAGGACCTGCTCCTTGTTGGCCACCAGCCATTTGTGCTGTCCCTTGGCAATTTTGAGGTCCTTCCATGCAGAGGGTCCCTGAGTGGACTGTGTGTGCCCAGAGGAGCTGCTGCACCTGCAATGAATTCTGTGCACATAGTGCAGTGTGTCTGACTCTGCTGGGAAGTCAGATGGATTTGACCTGCTGCTCCTCTTGCTGGGACCCCACCTGCCAGTATCCCAAATCCTGGTGCAGTGCCAGGTTAGATGAGAAAACACATGAGCAGGAAGGAATGGGAATTCATCCTGAATTTCCATCAATCCTGCTGATTGTGTCTGCCCTTGCCTTGGCAGCTTTTGTGATTTACAGCTTCCTGAGCCTATGCTTTGAGTATCTTGGAGGGGAGAGCAACATCATGACAGAGATCCGAGGGAAGCCCATTGCGTAAGTCCCAGCATCCCATGAGCTCCTTGGCCCTTCACCCACTTTCCCCATCCAGCAGCCCCAATGGCATCTCCTTGGCTTCTGCTTCCAGATCCAGCTGCTTTTATGGGACCTGCTGCCTTCAGGGTATGTCTTACTCCATCGGGTTCCTGCGCTTCTGCAAGCAGGTGGGTACTCGATGGGGAGCATCAGCTCCACTCCCCTTGGACAAGGGCTCTCTGGGTGGCAGGTCTCTTCCCCACTGCCCTGCCAAGGGGGCTCTGCTTCATCATTCTCCAAAAATGCTGGTTTGAGGTTTTTTTTCCTCTAAGGGAGGCAGCTCACCCAGCTTGCCGGCATCTGGCCAGCAGCAGGGCTGCACACTCGCTGTCCTTGCCTCTGACTCACTGCTGAGTCAGGGTCTCCTCCCACTGCAGAACTCAGATTGCCATCTCTGTCCAGTCCCAGGTTAGCCTGGACACTGTAACTCTCCAGTGCTGTGCTGTGCTGTGGGCTGAATCCTGCCACCCATCTGTCCCCAAGCCACCTGGTCCCCCACCTCTGAGTGGCTCTGCTGCCTTTCAGGAGATGCCTTCTGGAAGCCCTGCTCCCTCTCATCTGCAGACCTTGTGCTGGTTTTTATTTCACCCCTCAGTCACTCCTGTGATGAGAACTGCTCTCTCCTCTGTGTCTTTGTCCCGGGAGCATAGGGGTTGGCTCGTGGGGAGGGGCTGGGGGTGGGATGTAGGGTGTGGGATGTCCCTGCGGCTCAGGACACATCATGTCTCTCCCCTGTGCAGGCCACACTGCAGTTCTGCATCGTGAAACCCCTCATGGCAATCGTCACCATCATCCTGCAGGCGTTCGGGAAGTACCACGATGGAGACTTCAAGTGAGGATGCGGGTTGGGCTGGGGAGGGTGAATGGGAGAGGATGGATCCTTGCTCCATCACAAGTGTCCTGTCAATCTCCCTGGGGAGCTGCTCTGTGGGTGGTGAGAGCACTGCGAGCCCAAAGTGCCAAGAATGGAGACTCACTACCCCCAAACAATAAAGGGACAAAACTCCTGTGAGCCATAATAAAAGAGGTCCCACCAACAGAGGAAAAGCTGAGAGTGTCCCCCTGCTTTCTCTGCCCCTTCTTCCCCACCTGGGCTGTGTTCTCCCTTACGGCAAAGCCTGCACTTTCCCACTCCCCATTTGATCCCTCTTTGCCCCCAGCTTGCTTCGATCCCCGCAGCCCAGGGCAGCAGCTCTCTCTCTCCCTGCAGTGTCCATAGTGGATACCTCTACATCACCATCATCTACAACTTCTCCGTCAGCCTGGCACTTTACGCACTCTTCCTCTTCTACTTCGCCACCATGGACCTGCTGCGCCCGTTTGACCCGGTCCTCAAGTTCATCACCATCAAGGCAGTCATCTTCCTCTCCTTCTGGCAAGGTGGGTCCCACCATGGATGCCCAGTGCTTCTCCTCCCGTAGCCCCACTTGGCTCAGGGATGCAGGAGCACAGCTGATCTCTCTCCCTTCCCCTGCACAGGGACGCTGCTGGCAATCCTGGAGAAATGCGGGGTGATCCCTGAAGTTCAGATCATCGATGGGAAGGAGGTGGGAGCTGGGACAGTGGCTGCTGGCTACCAGAACTTCATCATCTGCATTGAGATGCTGTTTGCTTCCATTGCCCTGCGCTACGCGTTCACCTGCCGAGTGTACAGGGAGAAGAAAGAGAACTCGACAGGTAATCCTTCCTCACTTCTTCCTTCCTTCCTTCATCAATGACTAAGAGGAAACCCCCCTTACTTTATTAGTATCCCATTACCAATGGGATGCTAAAAACTACAAGAGAAGTTTCCTTATCCTATGCTCAATGGGTTCCTTCTCCCTGTTCCCTAATGATACCACAAACCATAGCAAGGGGATGGGAAGAGAGACCTTGGTGTGAATGGGCAGAATTAGGGGATACATGATACCCACATGCTGTAGGAGAGGATCCATCCTCTTTGAAACGTGGAGGTGGAGTTGCCTTCCTTCTTGGAACTTGCCACTGCAAGCTGATGTGGCCCACAATGAGCCTCTAATCTTGAATTTCTAAGGAAAAGTGTCATCCCAGTCTTGAAGTGCTTGGGCTCATTGACTGACTGATGTCCCATCACCCTCCTGCTCTCCCTCTTTTGCAGCAAACCTTGCCCCGATGCAGAGCATCTCGAGTGGGCTGAAGGAGACCATCAGCCCCCAGGACATCGTGCAGGATGCCATCCACAACTTCTCGCCCACGTACCAGCAGTACACTCAGCAGTCAATGCAGGAAGCAGAGTGCAAGGCACCAGGGCAGAACGGGCACGTGGCCTCCAAAATGGATGGCCAGAGCAGCAGGAAGAGCAAAAACATTGAGAAGAGAGTGCTGATCCTGTCAGATGAGGAACTGTAGGAGATATCAGAAGGAACAGTGACACTGGAAAGATTTAAACCCATGCAAATGGGAGGTGCCTCGAGGCTGAGACAACCTGGTCTAATCAGAGCACTGGGAAGCCAGGAACTCTACCCAAAAAGCCAGTCTCTCGAAGGGAAGATGCAATAACCCAAGGAAAGGTTAAATCAAACAGTGCCAGCTTCTGCTGTCCCATCTCTCCTGCTGTTACGGATGAGGCTGTGTTTGACCCTGCATTGCTGCCCCACTGCTGGTGCCTCTGTGCCAGCCCCGTGCCAACACTGGGGGATGCCAGGCAGGCAGGGGAGCCAGGGTGCAGGACAGACCAGCTGCCCTCACTCTCCTCTTACCTCTAAGCAGTGCTGAGGCCTGAGAGAAATGCTTTTCTCAGCACAGTTCTGTTCTAGTTTCTCCCAATTTGAGTAAAAAATGATCTCCAAGGGCCCCGTGGAGAAAACTAGCCCAGGAAGGTGACTTCGCTTCACCTCAAAACCCGGTAATGGTTGAAAGACGTCATTCCTTATTTTTACATCTTTTCCCCTCTCCTTCTCCCAGAAAAGCCTACAGAGTTGAGCAAAAGACCTTTACCATGGAAGAAGAGCAAGTAATCTTCTTCTTCTCCCTCCAGATGTGGATGCAGCTGTCTGAGTAACTCCCCCGGGAGCTCAGGCAGGACCTCACTGGGGCTAATCAGAGGTCTGCAGCTGCATTTCTGAGATCTGCAAGTGACAGAAGTGCTTGTTTATGTCTAAAGCAGCTTATCTCTGAATGGATCAGAAGTTAAAAGGGATTCCAGCTTCCTTATCAGAGTCTTTATTAGGGAACTGGACTGTGACTGGTGGTGGTAGGAATTCATTTACTGGGAACTGTCTGTTCCTCCTCATCCTTCACTATTCCTGGTCCCTGGGCATTGCCTGACCTGTGGGAAGGCAGGTGGGAGCTGAGCCCAGTTGGGTGACCATCGTGGGGATAGAGAGGTGCTGGGGGATGTCACCACTCAGGGCAGGACCACTGGTAGGGGAAGAGCCTGAAAGGAGAGATTTTCCCTGTATCAGTGATGGAGAGTGCACATCCTTCTGTTAAATTTCCTCTCTGTTTTTTCCCCCCCCAGTTTTCAGTCTGATTTCTATTCCCTTGTAATCAGATGATCTCTGTGAACTTACCTAGGCACTGGTTGGGCTGTTGTCTGGGGTGGGAGCTGGGTAGTGGAAGGACGAGGGCAAGTCTGCAGCCTCAGATTTGCAGTCATGTGGCAAACAAACCGATAGGTAAGGCCTGGAGCCCTGTTACACACAACTCCAAGCGTTTGGGTCCTTTTTACCCCCCCGCTCTTAAACTGCAAAATGTAAATCATAACATGAAATTATTTTATTTATTTCTTTTTTCTAATAAACAGCAATTTCTAGCACGGAGCAAGCATTTTCACTGAGCTCAGCAAGCAGAGCCCTCGATCTGCTTGTTCCTGCTATAATGCTGATGCTCTTAAGCTTAACGTCCTCCCTGCCCCTCAATGCTGGCCCAGCAGAAATACCTGCACACGCAGCATCCTGCACATTTTGGCATTCCTGGGGGATTTGTGCTCATCTTTTTCACTCCACAAAGAATGTGCATGTCCCCTGCTTCCTCTCCTTGCGCAGCACGTCTTCCAACCCTCGCCTAAGATGTGGGTGCAGTGGTTCAGAGGTGCTAGATCTGGTTTAGCTAAGATCTGGTAAGCCCAGCTAGATCTGGTAAGCCCAGACTCCAGCACCAACAAGACAACCAGTTGATGATTTTTGGAGAAATCTTACCATGCCAAAGCCCAGATTCCACACAAGCATCCTATAGCTCAGCCAGTCTCACGAGTCCCCGTGGTCCAAAGCTGCTCATACCTGCTCAGCAGGTGAGACAGCTGCCACTTATCCTGCAAGGAGGTCCATAAACAAGAGCCATATGGTCTGCGCATCCAGGCATTCATCCAGGAACCTGTGCATCCTGGGAGCAGGACTGTCCTGCCCACAAAGTGCAGCCTCCGTGCTCAGGGACGAGGCTGCTTGGCTTTGTAACACAGCCAGCACCGAAATAGGGACATCTCAGCTGAGCATCTTCATCTTCACCCCTCTGGGAGAGGATGGCCACAGCTGCAGGAGCAGAGGCTGCTCCGGCTCCCGGGGCGAGGACAGACTGCAAAGGTGATGATGGCACATCTGTCGACGCACTCGCAGCCGCTGAGATAAAGACTTGCACAAGAACACAGCAAGAACTGTGGTTGTACTTCACTGCACAAATGATCGTCTCCGGTGCATAATGGGCTGCCTCCATTGCTCTGCCAGCAGGTGCAATTCCCACCGCAGACAATAACATTTGCCTATTTATGTCAAGCCCTGATTACTGTATTATATGTAAAACAGATCTTTCTTGCAAGCCAAACAAGGGGGGGAAGAAAAAAAAGTCAGCTGTGACTCATGCAAGTCAGCAGTGTGATACCAGCCTGAAGGAGCCGTGCTGGGCTGGACACCAGCTGGCTGCCGCGACAGCAGCAGCAGGCACCCTCCCTGCTCCCTCCCTGCTCCAGCCGGTGCGAGCTGGGCCTCCTGCTCGTCCTTTTTCTTGGAGAGGGGAGAGAGGCAAGAGCTGACGGCTCAGGCTGGGCGCTGTCACGGCCCTCCAACCCTTACGCTGTCAAAGCGCATCCACAGGGAACAGAAATGCCAGCGGTGGTGTGGGCTGGATGTGGTCCCACGCTCCTCTGCTAATGCGTCTCCTCCACCTCCTCAACAAGGACGCGGGGAAAGCTGGCGGCGAGCACCCGGGTGACCTACACAGGAGCCTGCTGAGCCTGGAGCCACGCCAGCAGGCAGCCCGGGAGGAACAGGCGTCTCTCACTGCCAGCAGCAGGCTCTGGTGGTCGGCAGATTTGTTTTCCAGTTGTCACCTGTCCTCGGGCTTCCCCCAAGGGCAAGGCTGAGCTGCAGCCCTGCCATTGCACCTGCAGGAGCTAGGGCTGACCACCCTACAAGCAGAGGGGAAGGAAGGTGGCCACTGGCACCACAGCAGAGCCAGCTCTCACACATGGCTGCTCACCATGCAGCACCCAGTCAGAGACAGACACTTCTTTTTTTGGGTGCTAACACCTACCAGTGAGTCCCTGGGCCCAGCTGCTGACAGGCAACAGGCTGCCAGACCTGCACCAGAGAGCAGGATTTGTGCTTTTGCCACCCTGTTCACAAAGACCCTTCCCTAAGACTTCTCCCCTAAGCATGGTGAAGGTTGAGTTTCCTTTCACTGCTGAACCTCCACCTGGACCCTTCCTCATGCCCTTTTCCTCCTGAAATAATGTTCCTCCATGCTTCCAACAGTCACAACTGGCCCACCTCCCTCTCCTCTCCCTTGTCACTGGCTCCTTGCTGCCATCTCTTCAGGCAGGAGCTGAAGCAGCTGATGATGCTTTTTTTGCTCAGCAGGGAGACTGCAATCACCCCCCAGGCTTCACCCACTGCCTGCTCAGCCAAGCCTGCCTGGCCCCACCTAATGACCATCCATTACCTGCTGACACACAAAGCCTTTCAGCCCTGCTCCTCTCCACTTTGCCCTACCTCTAATTCCAGCTTTGGCCAACACACCCATCTGCCTCCAACCTACTGCGTCAATATGGCCAAGTGTTTTCCCCCTTCAGCTGCCCCCTAAAGAAAAACAACCGCTTGGAATAGGAGTTCAAAGCCAACACAACCCCTGGGAGCTCACTGGCACAAGGTACCACCCCTTTAAAGCCCCAACAGGGACAAGCAAAAAGATGAAGTGTTGATGTAAGGGTTTATTCACAGGCAGTTGCACGGGGAAACAGTGAAGGGATATTTCACAACCCAAAGAAAGAAAGAGGAGTGTCTCTCTGCAGCACTGCAAGACAGGTCACAGTGTCTCCAAGCCACAAGTGGCCTTGCTCAGCATCACGACTGCAGGCAGGTGCCTGCTGAGCTGTCAGTCCTGCTTGTGCTAACACAGACACCCACTGATTGTGCACAAAGGCACAGCCAGGGTTAGGAACAGGTACACGTGGTCTGAGCATGGGATCAACCTGACAAACAGCTCGGACAAGAGCCATCCCTTAAGCACATTCCAAATAGCCCAAGAAAGCACCACAGAAAGGCTGAGATGGGCTCCGCCTGCCTGGGTCAGACAATTGCAACAGCCCAAGCTGCCATCCCACTTGCCTTAGCCCAGCCTGCCTCCAAAAAACACACTGCTCACCGCAGCGCCACAACCAGCAACCAGCTGCGTGCTGCACTGGGGACAGGCAGCAAAAAACCCAAGGAAAACACTCCACTGAAGATCAATTCAGGCTCCAAAATGCTGACCATAGACCAGGGCAAGTCTGAAACCAGAAAATGCTTTATTGGAAAGGTACAAAAAAACCAGTCACTGCAGCTAAATTTACAGCAATAAATTACGTTGTGGCTGTCAAGAGAAGTAATGGACACATACACAGGGCTATTCGCCTTACAAACAGGAATCCACATTGCTTGGTATATCAATAATTTATTTTATAATAAAAAAGCAGCACAAAAATAAATATTGAAATGAAATTACTGAGTAACCACAGAGGATAGAATGAGCTGGTGATAAAAAACAACTTAAAACAGAAGACTTCTATCATTAAAAAAATGAAAGCAAGTATCCACCATCTACGGAAACACCCCAGCAGACTGAAATACAGACGAAGGAAAACAAATCCACATTACAAAAGTTTTTCGGTTTTGTTTTGTTTCCTTTTTTTTTCCTATTTTTTTTTCTTTTTTTTTTCTTTTTTTTTTTTTTACTTTTTAAATAAAAACAATCATGACAATGAAGTTTAAATGATTCGAGAGAGAAAAAACTGCCACCTTCTCCTCCTCCTCCCCGGGGTCTTGAGCCATCCCTCATGCTCCCGTGGCATCGCGCCTGGCCCTGCCACAGCTCATCTCCGCACCCGCCCCGTCCCTCCCCGGCCGTCCCAGCGCTGCCGTGTCACCCAGGTCTCTGCCCTTTGTAGTAGAGTTGGGCAAGAGCAGAGACTTGTTTCTAAGGGATCTGGAGCTGCCCTGGAGGGAAAGGTTCCCCACTCCCAACAGAGAGCACAGCAAACATGTCTACGAGAACAGAGATGCCCCTCCCGGTCCCTGCACGACGCTTTTCGTCTTCTCCTGCCTCCCACCCAGCCCTCGGTTCCCACGTCACGCTGTGGATGGGGAGCAACCAAAGAAAGGCCAGGCCCAGGGGAGAGGATCCCAGCACTCACAAAGCAGAGCCCCCGCTCCTCAGCGGGGTCGGGGGAACAAACTAAGAGGGGCAGAGAAGGGAGCCCCGGCATCCAAACTACTGCAGCAAAGAGACAAGCGAGAGGCGCGGCTGCGGGGGAACGCGCCCCAACGCCGCCAGCGCCACGCGCCGCACTCGCCCTGGGTGTCAGGTTAGCAAGTGCAGGACGGAGAGGGAAAAAAAAAAAAGCCAAACAAAACAAAACAAAAACCAAAAAAAAAAAAAAAATAAAACACAACAGAAACAAACCGAACCCCAGAGGAATGCAACGCGACAACCCCAAGCTGGAGGGCCCTCCAGGGAGGAGGGTGGAGGAGCTGGGTCTCCAACGCGGTCAACAGCTTTCGGGTCATTCCTCCCTCCACGTTACCTTGCAATTCTGATCCCTCTGTGGAAGTTTAGCCAGGACATTTCATTCCCCTCCAGGTCACCACCCAGGGAGCCCTGGACTGGCAATTTCTTTTAATAAAGATTTACAGTATCAAACTTGGAAAAAAAATTATTTTTTTTCTTTTTTACGAAAAATCTGTACGATAAAATGTATATAATTATATATTTATATATATATTTCTCTCTCTTTAAATATTTCCACGTGGTCCTTATGGATATCCAATATGGATTACCTACCATGGCTATGGTATCAACAGCTTTAACAACACCCAGGCCTCTTGTTCTTTATCGAGTGACCAGAGATTTAAGTGCCTACCAGCACTAAACTAGCAATCACTTGGACAAGCCTTTGGCACCCTTCCAAGAACTGGAAAAAAAAGAAATACTTGGCCACAAGGGAAGTGCCACGTAAAGATATGTTTCTCAACTCATTCCAACAGCAAGAAGACCCCACGGAACAAAGTTGGACCTCCATCTCCCTTGGTGAGACTGGTCTGATTTCCCCGGAGGGGTGTCAAGGGCAGCCAGAGGGTGTTCCTATCTAGCCAGGAATGTTATGGAGCTCTGGAGCTGTTTTAAAGACTGGAAGCATTTGGGCATTTTCAAGTCAACTGGCCTTTTTCAATAAAGTTTTCATTTAAAGCCCCAACAGTGCCAGGAGTCTCCATTTGCCTGTTTTTGGAGGCACCTGTAAGGTCTGGGAAAGTTTCCAATGTCTGTGAGCTGGAGAACATGAG